AAAGCATTTGCATCATAAGAGCCACTCGGTAAAACCACTTCCTCTAAAACATAATTAAACATCTATCACAGGCAGTGCCCAGGAAATGTGATTACCTTAAAGGGCTCCATGGGAGCTGATCCTGGCTCATCCCGAGCACTGAACTCCTCCACCCCACTGTAAGACAGGGCTGTCCTGCTACTGTTTGGGAAATCAACCTTTGCTGAGTGAGGCAAATACACTCCCAAGCAATTTCCCACCGACTAAGATATTCTCACCTCCTGAATCTTGTTTGAAAAGCCAAACTGAACTGGTGGAGAATAAAATGTTTGATGGAAATGTTTTACTGCAAGATATGTGGCCAGGTATGCTTCCGTGCTTTTGGAGTAGATGTGGGTAAGGATCTCAACTCAGGTGCCCAGGAGTCACAAAGATGTAGTGTCAGTGCTTCCAGCCAGGTTCACAGGACACTCCAACAAGTCACAGAGTCACAGAACAGTTGGGGTTGGAAGGGATTTCTGTAGTTCATCTGGTCCAATCCCCCTGCTCAAGTAGGGCAAATGAGAGTTGTTTGTCCAGGACCATTAAATATCTACAGGGATAGAGACTCCACAACCTCTCTGGGCAGCCTACTCCAGTGCTTAGTCACACAGTAAAAAGCATTCCCTGATTTCAGACGGAGCCCCCTGTGTTTTAGTGTGTGTCCACTTGCCTCTGCTCCTGTCACTGGGCACCATTTAGAAGAGCCTGACTCCATCCTCTCTGCACCCCCTTCAGGTACTGGTACATACTGATACTCTCTCTTCTGGAGACGTGTAGTAATACACACCACAGCAACAAAAATATTATCTCATACATAGGAATATTTATTTTTTTCCTTCTTAAAAATGTACAAAAAATAAAATAACTGTATTTACAGCTTATCAAACCCCTCTCCCAGTTGCAACACTATTAAGTTACATGAGCTATATTCTTAATATAAAAGCACACTATTTATACATTAAGTTTTCTTGTTTGCCAGAAAGACGGCTTGTCACAATCTTTGGCACAAACATTCTTGTTTGTATCTTGTCTCAATTAACAGGAAATGGAAGAGCATATAAACATTTAATAAGCTTTACATTTTATAAGTCATAAGATACTCCTTTCCAGTTCCACTTCAATCAATATACAGCATCTCTGACAGCTAGAGAGTTTAGATTTTACTAACTGTTTGAATTAATTTACATTTAAACAATTCATAGAACAAAAGAAAAAATATATAAGAAAGACATTTGATCTCTGAATTCCATTGACCAAAAACTTTGTGAGAGAGGACACACATGAAAAAAAACATTCTTTTCTTTGTAGTTTACACTCAGTGTTAGAAATCCTCCAAAATGTCTTGATGGAGTGATCATCGTACATCCACAAAGCTTCACTCAAGGGATGCACTTTATTTTGGGAATATCAGCACCTGACTGTAAGAAAGAACTATAATTTGAGAATTTGAATGGGATTTCATGATAAAACATCAAATGGACGGACAAAGTGCCAAATCTGCAGCAGGAACCAAAATTAGAAGACTGTTCTCCTTTTGTACATCTCTGTCTAGAGTCTTTCAAAATTAACATCTACAGACACTGCATTGCTACAACTCTTCACAGGGAAAATGCACTGAGCAGCAAGCCACTCTTCAGGCTGCACCAGTTAAGATTCAAGATTGCTGTCTTGAACAAGAGAAGGAAATGAGAATTTTGTTCCTTTAAATAAACAACCACAGCAGTGCCACAAAGAGACAAAAGGAGGCAAGGCAGATATTCCTGTCCCCTGCTGAACAGTAGCCAAACCTTACTTCCATTTTAACTCATAATATTTGGAAGATCCAGCATTAATCAATATTTTTGATCAAACAAAAGCAACATGCATATTTTAAACAATATACATGTAAGCACTGTGTACTCCTCAGGATGTCTGAGTCAAGCAGGGCACAAGGCAGCCACTGCTTCAGAAGTTTGCATTACTCATACCACTCTTGCCCCTTTCCCACCACTCTGATGGGCTGATTTGGACCAACGAGGTGAACCCTGAGAGCTTGCAGCTTGCCACAACCAGCATCCAAGGTTCAGGGCTCCTCCAGCAGCTGATGCTGTAACTACAACTGAAGGGGTGCAGCATGGATATTCAGTCTTAGTGCTTGTGATGCACCTGCATCTGGAGCAGAGAAACAAAGTCCTCAGACCCTGGCAGGTAAAGTAAAGGGTGATCATCCTTACCTAGCTCTAGCTGTTGTTTTAAAATAATCTTACCACCAATCTAGGCACCTTCCTGATAACTTCATTGAGACTGTAAGAAGGAACTAAAGGCAGGAGCATTAGCTTTCTACTATTAGGAATTTGCACACCTTAAGATATATTTAAAATAGCTTTCAGTTAATCTTGGAAGCAACTTTCCTTTTCTGGACAATGGCTGACTGAAAGCTCCTAAACTGACAATGGAAAGCTCCTTAAACCCCAGTATTCCTGGAGCATTGCACTTCTCTGATCCTACATGCTCCTCATCACAGGATGCTGCAGCACCCAACAGATCTCAGCTCATCTTGACCCAAATGTAAGACAAAACCATCCCAATAACCTGAGTGCTGGTGCTGCCAGGACTGCCTGTCCTTCTCTGTGATCCCTAAATTCTCACTGGCCTTTCTTAATGCAGCACATTCCAACCCAGGCCAGTCCCAAGTATTCCCTTGGACATCAGGTTTGTTGGGGGCAGAACTAGGGCTCAACTCCTGCATACATTTACTCCTTTGCTTTACCTGCAGCTTCTGCCCAAACATCTTGACCAGCTGAGATCCCAGATTATATTCTGAGGATTCCAAACACCAACAAAGAAATACAAGAACTAATGGCATTGCTCACCAGTCCTGTGTGCTGGTCCCAGTTCCTAATGCCTCCTGTACCAACTGTCCTCTTTTTTTCTTTAAGAAAAAAATATCTGGGATAAGTCAGCATAGACTTTTTATCTCAGTCTGAGCCAAATAGAAACAAACTGAACCATCATAAATCTCTTGTATTCCCAGATTGTTTGCTCTTGAGCAGCATAGCAAGAGCATCTTTGCTGGAGTGCATTTTTATTTAAAGTTAAGGAAATTACAACAGAACCCTGCATCAGAAGGGGAAAGAGTGCATGGCAAAAGAAAAGGGAGGAGAAAGACAGAATACACACTGCACTTTACAGACATTATGTGAATTCTGGGTATGTTAGTGCTGATGCTACCAGCCTGAACCTTTTATAGTTTCTGATCTCACAGAAACCTTGACATGTACTTAACATTTCTATTAAAGAAAGAGATTTTAATGGGATGCTACTGCTAATGAAGTTAAGAAAGTGTGAACTTACAGGACAATTAATGCAGATGTGGCCAAATCAGACTGGTCAGTCATCCCAGCTACTTTGCTTGAATGTGAATAGCTCCACACAGCTCAAAACACTACATGAGCCCTGTTAAACATGGCAGTGTTTCTTTCTGCCATTAACCACCAAATAATGAAGGTTGTGTGACCAAACGAGAAAAGGTTTTAGAAGGAAAAGAATAAACTCTAAAAGCTGCATGTAGGAAAGGACCCCCACTTCTGTCTGTCACACAGGATCCGTGTACAGCGCATAGAGAATAAAATGCAACGAAAACCATGGAATTATATGCTATGTGAGGAGCTCTTCACAACAGCCAGGGGAGCTGGAATAGAGACAGAGATGCTGGGTTTGGATGTCATAGGGATATTCAGGTCTTGAACCCCTTTCCTGGTATGATTTTAGCCTGCACAGCTTTATCTCTTCACAGAACCTGTAAGGCAGGCGTGGAATTTGATGGAATAACCAGGTAGTTCAACTTGGGTTCAGATGCAGCCCTTGAGAGTGAGACCAATCTCCACTCCTCAGTTGTGGGATACTCAATCTCCAGTGGAAAAATTGTTCCAGTTTTGATAAAATATTTACATCAAGCCCAGGCTTGGATACTTCCAAGTGTCCTAGGAATCACAACAGAATCATTCAATGGAAATACAAGAGCAAAATACACTTAAAAGGAAGAGTTTGAAGTCCTGTTTCTTACAGTCTAGAGGAATGCTTCGATGCACAGGCTGCTGCAGAAAGAACCTTCCCACCACATGTTTGAGAAAAAACCACTTTAGGAGCCTCTGCTTCATCAAAGGAAGATGACCAGGAAGAATTCCCTTCTGGACCTCTTGGCAAACCAGGGAGCAGACACATGGTGTCTCTTGGATTTTGTTACAGCTGGATGGGAGACTCAGGTATCTACAGCTGGACTTGGACACCAAAGGTGGGTCCCATTGTGCCAGAGCATTGAAGACCCAGTAGCAGAGTCTGCTCTAATATTTCAATATACAATTGTGTGAGCAAGGATGGAGCATATGAGTACAGATTCAGTTATCAGCTCCTCAGTACACACTTCTTGACAGATTGCAGCAATTTAATCCTCTAGGAAAGATTCTATTAAACCCTAAACCAAATACATACAAAAACATAGTGGCAGTAAACATGCCCACATACAGTAGTTAAAATATATTATTGCATATTATAAACATTATATACAAGGTTAAAATGGTTTCTTTACCATTTACTTACATTTGTGACATTTGTAGCTGAATGCCTTACTTACAAGTCCTCATTGCTACGTGCTGAGAACTACCAGAGGTATTTGGCAAGACTATACAGTATAGAGAGATACGAAACAGTCTGAGCAAGTGAACTGTCAGCCACTTTGCTCATCTTTAGCACTGCAACAGATTTTTAGCAATGACAGAGACAACTACTGGTGAAGTGATTTATACCAGATTTCTGAAATTAGACCAGCATAGTTACTGAATGTGTTTTAGAATAAGCTTATCCACACTGAAGTATGGATTAAAATGCTGCATTTCACATTTGCAGTGGGTCATCTGGTTACAAATCTGGGGGCTGGTAACTGCTTGTACACTAGAGAGTGAGGAACAATAAATAAGGGACCAGGTTACTGTGAATGGCCTTGTGTTTGACAAACCCAAGTCTGTCTGCAGTGGGTGCACAGGTGCACAATGGACAGTATTTTCAATGCAGTCTTGTAACAGTTTCTCTGATCAATGTCTGTCAAGTTTACGGGGAATCTGCTTTCCAAGAAGGATGAAATGCTGTGGTTCCTTACAAAATGGCTCTGCCTGAGGCTAGATCTCTGTCAGTGTGATCTTGAAGCCTTCAACCATGTTCTCCATGTTCAGGATGAATGTGTCCTCATTGGAGTAGTGCTCAATAATGTTGTCATCCATGTTTACCAGGATGCTGGTGACAAAGGCAGAAATCAATGTTTTTATGTACCAGGACAATGAAAGGAAAAACTATACACTCTGCCACATGTACTTGCTTCTCTACAACACAAAACCAGACTCCAGCACGTGTCAGTACAGGCTCACTAGCAGGAATTATCAGCAAGATCTGCTCTGTAAGTCCCTTATAATCTTTCGATCAGAGGCTGCTCCTTGCCAGAGCCATTAAGGGACACGCCAGTGCTGGGATGTTAACACACTTAGGCTACCTACAGATGAGCTGCACTTCAGATCCCTGGCAGACCCAGCCAGCTGGTGCTTCCCATGCCTGGTAGTGGCTCCCACAGGGACACATCTGTGCCACTCCTCAGGCACACCATGTGAGCTGCTGCACCTCTGTGGTGTGAGGGCTAACACGGGGAAGGAGTGGAATTTGTGCTTTGCACACAGCTCACAGACTTAGAAGTCAGCTTGGATGTGAGACTATCAACAATGACTATTACAAGTGTATATGAGTGTTTTCCTCACTCTTTACCTCCAAGTGTTTCTTCTGTCACTTAGAAAGAAGCAAAACATGAGAAGTTTCACCTGTCTTCTCAAAAGCTAAAGAAATCCCCAGACAACAATGCCTTAAGCTAGTTACAGCTGAAAATAAATGACTGGTTTAAAATTATAATGCTACAATATTGTGGTTAAATAGAACTTTAACAAACAGTTGAAGTGGTGAGATTTAGTTTTATGGCAAGGAGCAGAAGCCTAGCTATTCTAAAAGTCCAGCTGTGATGTTCATGTCTAAATTTATTCATCTGAAATGCCTGCAGCAAACATTGCCTGCCTGTCTTTCAGAGTAAGACAGTGGCCTACTTCTTCCTAACACTGCAGGAAAACTCCACACTGCATTCACAGCAAAGGCAGCATCTCCCATGCTGGCCCTCCATGATGTTAGTAAGCATATTGTCTACAAAACAGACTTTATCCACATGTCTTATCCACAAACCCTTCCTTCACAGTGAGCTTATGAATACTGGTCAGACACAGATTGGAGATCCAGGTTTCCTCTTCTGCCATCCCTTACAGTCTCCATAGACATGAAGATTTCAAGCACATGGGTATGTCTCCTGGAAGAGTTTGTGCTGCCCAGCATCATGAGGCCCCAGCTATAATTGGGATCTCTGAGTACTTCTAAAGGATCCTGCAATAGATCCTTAGTTAGGTAACTAACTTACCCCTTTTTACTCTTCTTATAAAGTTTTGCAATCTTTTCAACTGGCAGCCCATATTTCTCAGAGATCTGAAATAATAAAAAGAAAAGAAATATTACTAAAGATTAATGAAAATTATAAAAATATCACCTCTTACCTTACGTAAGACATTAAAACAAAATCTCTGCAAATTTTGACAGGATAGCTATATAGAAAAGTCTGTCACAATCATACCATGCTTTCATTTAAGGATGACTTGGAGAGCAACAATCCTGAACAGCTTAATCAAAACCCACAATTGTCTCTACCCATAAGCTCAAATACTATAGTTTTATAGGGTGTGAGTCATCAGAACTGCCCCAGCATCTCCTAGTGCTCTGCTCAAGGAGTCAGTACTCTTCCCAGCTTCAGATTTTACCAGGGAATTTCTGTCTGATCTTTCTATTGTTCCTTAATCTGATTTCTTGGGCTCATGGAAGCAAAGGCTTCTCCACCAGGCAGAAGGCAGACACATGGCAACCCAACAGGAGCTGATGGACCAATGGAGCAACAAAAACATACACATTTCTATTTCTCAAAGACATTTCAAGCTTTATTAAGCTAACAGGACTCTCCTTGGTGGTACTTCTGTCTGAAAAGTCTCTTCAAGGTACCTTTTATTGGGGGAGGACTACCAGCATCAAACACACAGGACTAAGAAGCTTCTGTATTGTTGGGAAGGTGACTCAGTCTAGTTAATAGAGTAGCAAATTGAAAACACTATTTGGCTCACAAAAAAAAAAAAAATCATCTGAGTGTATAGATAACAAGATGAGATTTCACAGAGAAGTGTGTTATCAAGGTAAAGGACTTCTAAAATAAACTTTGTACTAAAGCAATTAAAACAATAAAGCAGAAAATACAGTAAAACTTTAGAAGGAAGAACTACTTAGCTGACAAATTACCCATGCCAACAAATACTTCACTGGGATGCTTTGGCATTGCTTTGCAGCAGTGTACTTGTAACTTTTTTGGATGTCTATTCTGCAGTGAGTCTGTGGTGTGCTTATGAAGATGGTGTCCCTGGGCCCTTCATCTGTGCCAGGTTTGCTTTCCAAATTATGATTCTTCTTTGAGGGAACAGGTCTCACAGTTCACACTTTAGAAGAAGATTGTCCCAAAAGGCAAAATAGTTACAGAAAAATTACTTTTTTTTCCCCCAGTGATTAATGTTCTGTGGTGCTCTACTGCCAAGCAAAGTAAGTTTCCAGCTTTTCAACTGAAATGAAGTTGCAGCTAAAGAGCTGACTGCTTATCTTCTGCATTAGAGAACTGAAATGCATAATTAAAAATCCATTTAAGACTGGCAAACATCAGGCACTGTAAAATCCTTTCTTTGTGTTTGCATTCAGAGTTCTGCTGAGAAAAGGTATTTTAGGGAAGTACATTAAAGCAATTATCACAAAAGAGAAAATGGAATGGATAAACTCAGCACTGAGGACAGATTCAAAGAGCTACAGGTTGAACACCAAGCACAGCTCCCATCCAGACAGCCAAGATTCTCTGAAAGAGAGAATTAATTAGGCTATACTTGTCTACATCACCTAAAATAGTATCATTGTCATCTTAGCCCAGATGCAATTTTGTACCTAAAAACTATCCCTAATAATACACAAGCTATCAGCTTGACTGGCATTCTATAGCATAACTCCAGGACTCTGAAGAACCAATAAAACTTCTCTTACACTGAAAACAGTGTCCTCTGACTATTAGCATATATCAGTGGCTAAGAGAAAGGGGAATAACTGTTGGGGTACAATAGACCCATCCACTCCCTAAGTTTTCTACCTAGCAGAGAAAAAATACAAACTGAATTTGGGTGGTATTTGCTACTTCAGTTTCACTTGCACCAGCATGTTTCACTGTTCATTTACTCTTTATTGTCCTCTGGCTTTGCTTATCATGAACAGAATGACATCAGATAAACAATCTGGTGTTGAATTTTTATATCTGTGCTTCTGTTGTACCCCTAACTTTAAGTTTTCATGTAAAGCAATAATAAAAATGGCTCCATTTCATCAGACAGTTGAAAAAAATCCTTTGTAACAGGCATTGGAGAAAAACTGGCAACCTGAAACTGCAGAAAGGGTCACAAGTGTGTGAACATGAGGAAATTATCTCCCTCTCTGGGTTGTTAACTCTGAAGCCCAGTGATATTGTAAAGATCAGCACTTGAAGACACTTTTCACTGACTCCATTCAAATAAACAAGCCGAGCAAAACATTTCTTGCCAAGGAGGCTTAATAGCAGCTAATATACAGCATTCTGCACATTCCAGCATAAATCTTCCCTAGGATATTTGGCATACCTAACACTCATGCATTCCAAATGTTGCTCAAAGCACTTTGGGACTATGGGACATCACTTCCTACATAAACTAGGAGAGGTTGGGCTGAGAAAGCCTTGCCTGTCACACTGCCTATGACAGGTGTAGGATTTATATAACATGCAGGGATTACTGAGCTTTGCAAAAGACTTCCAGCTGACTGAATAAGCACATTTCTCAGGAACCCCTGGGATTCAATCAGTTATACCAAACAGCAAGCTGTGGAAGCAAGGCTTAAAGTGGGGGTATGGGAGAACCTCCCCCTCATAGTCTCCAGTACAAATGTGCTAAGTCCTGCTGCAGAATTGGAGAAAGCATAGGGTGAGCATCTGCTAGGGCATCTCACTTAACACCCTCTTCTCAGAGTGTTTGCTGCCAGCACAGGGGGACCACCACTTACTGCCAACTTCCATACAAAACAACAGGATTTCTCACCTGAACCCAAGCAGGCTACATTAAATTTTAAAAAGGTGTCTTTATTTGGAGGAATATTTTTCGTTATCATCTCAATTGTCCATTTGTCAATCTTCTGAGCAGAGATTTCTTTCTGTTAGGATGCCTGAAGCAGTGCAACAGCCTTCTGAGTGGCACTGAAATAGCATATGGGTGTCCCTGTGGGCTGCAGTCCGCTGGCATGGCAAGTTTGTCTGATTGCACAAGCCACCAGAAATGCTGTCTGCTGGAGTCAGGAAACCAGAAAGGGCAATATCTGGGTGGGCCAAGGCATGTAGGAAAACACCTTTGCCAGCTTATTTCTATTAAATGGTCTGGTCTGTTGCCCTACACTGGCTGGAAGATCACATATATAGGCAGGTATCTAATAGTCTAAGCTAGCTCTATTGAACTCAGCTTTAGCTTTTAATTATTGAAAGACTTTGGGAGATGCTTGAATTTCCCAATTTGAACTGCCTTCTGTAATTTGAATAAATATGCAATTTTGCACAATGTAAGATTGAGGTACCTACTGAGATCCACAGTTATCCTGACTTTGCATCAGGCTGAAATCAGGATGTAGAACTGGTCAGTCACCACATATGTGTGATGTTTTGCTATTTTCACTTGATCAAGACTGATTAGCAAAAAGCAAATATCTGAGTCGCTTCCTGAGACATGCTGCACTTCTGAAACCCAAAACCCCTAGATATTTGCCAAAAGAAAGATATCTGAAAAAGAATCTAATTGTTAGTTTAGAATGGGGGTACAGGAGAGAATAAAATGAACATAGTATCTGAGAAAACCATATCATTAATAACAGAAAGTTAGGGGAAAAGTCAAAGATCGGGAATAGTAACTAACAAAAAGAAAAAAACAAAATCCATAATCAGAGAAGGAGGGTTATGACTTAGGATCATTGGAGCTCCCTTTCAGATCTGGGGCTCTGTAATACTCAGAGGCTCAGTTCCTAAAGTCTTAATACTGAGAATAGAATGACGCATTTAGGATATGCACAATTACAAAATTACATGATTTGCTGCAATGACTGTAGAGAGAATATTTAAGAATATGCAGTTTGACAGCTTTTTGGCATTGTTTTATCCACAATATCCTACCAAAGAGAATTAAAATTTTCTGAATGTGTTCCTTCCAGTGAACTGGGACATTTTACAACAGATCAGATTTCTCTGGTGCTGAAAACATGCCAGTGAGTCAGCAGCTGCACTGACTGAGGTATGCAGAAACCCTTCCTGCTTCTGCACCAGCTTTGTTTTTGTTACATGGTGGCTGGAGAACAGGCATGGAGAGGCACAGACTACTGGAGATAAAATATTCATGCTAGCTTGAACAGTTATAGAAGGATTATAACTACTTTTAACTTCCATACAAAGACAAGATGAAATCCTGTTGCAGTTTACCATGAATCAGACTGCTGCCTCTTCAAGCAAAGCCTGGTTTTTGTTATCCATGTGCTCTGCCTGACAGCTGAGCTGCAGTCACAGCTAACAACCAGCATCAGCAGAAGCACAGTTAGGACATCCTTAGCATGCCACTGACTCTCCTCAGAGATACCCTCATCTAAATAGATGCTTTAAGCAACTTCACTAACCCATAAATCTTTTTCTGCCTTCTGCTACTGGCCAAATATTGACCAAATAACTCAATCTTTACTGCATTAAAAGCATTCAGTAAATGCAACAAGATACTGTGATGGTTTTAAGAGAGTATAAATATACACACATGTAGCACTTGGCTGAGCTCTCTAGGGGCACTTTCATCCATTTCCGTCTTCTCCCCTACACGTAAACAAGGCTGGAAATCAACTCAGCATCCCACATGTCAATCTCACATTCCTCCACTGATTATTTCTTAACTCTTCCCTTACCAAATTTCATGAGCCATCAGCTCATATAAACAAGATTAAACATGGAAACAGCAACTCGTATGATGACAGCTAATGGGTAACAAGCAAAAACTCAAAGAAGCAGCAAAGAGGCAAGTGTTAGGTAGGTCACGCTGTAAGTGAGGACTAGAGAAGGAATTTGAGACAACATATGAATGACAAGTCTGCACTGGCTCAGCACCTGCTGAACAGCAATTGCACAATGGCCACATGAAATTCCCACAGAAACAGTGCATCCTTGGGCCTCTTCTTGGAAACCAGGCTGGGAATGTACTGACAAGCATTACAGGAAAAGATTCAACAGGCTCTGAACCATCAGTTCAGAAAGAAGCATTTCAGAAAATGAAGCTTGCACCTCTCTCCTTCCCTGACACTGGTTAACTACTGCAATTCCTCAAAGCTCAGGTCTCCAATAATCAGCTCTGTGATGCTGTTTAAACCCAGTAACCTGCTGATAACACTGAATTAGGAAAACGCCAGCATTTCAGGGCTCCAGAAAGCCTTTAAGAAATGTTTTAAATGCACTTGAGAATAACTTCATCTTTATATTATGGTTTATCTCAATAATACATGGAAAGACTCAAGAATTTCTTGCCAAGAAAGACAAATAATGTGAGGACATTGGATACTTACAGCTTCCATTAGCCCCTTCACTGTGGGTGATTTCAGCATCAAGGCATCAAACACCTCATCTGTCTCCTTCCTCACATACAAAAGCACTGAAATAGGGGAAAAAAAATCAAACTTGGAGCAGGTTCAGTCAATTGCACAGATGAAATACCCCACACTGAGCAGAAAAATATTAATCCATGACAGATAAAATTAAGCACTGAAGATGGTTTGCACTTAAAAAAATGTACCATTAATATAATCAATGATCTAGACAAGGACAACATATACTAGTCACATTGAAAATACAGTATTGAAAATTTAATTCAGCAAATTTAATCTAATGTGAAGAATCTCTGTCTTCCAGAATCTAAATCTCCATTTACAAAAGAAGCTGAAAAGCACTGGGGCCTTGTCCTTTGGTTATAGAACAAAACACACACATCTAGGTCTTCTTAAACCTCTGTCTTGGCTTGCACCTCTCCAGGTTTCATCTAAAAGGCTTGGAAAGGACATTGAAAAAAGGCAAATCTGGGTTGCCTTTAGCTGTGCCTTTGAAAGCAAAATCAAAGAAAAGGTAAAGAAATAGTTGTCTCTGACATTACCATGCAGATGACTGCAAATGGCCTGATCAGTATGAAAATAAACACTGAGAAAAATGAATTCAAAGTAATTTGAGACTTTACAGGGGAGACATTCAAGAGCACAGCTGGCAGGCAGGCATTTACCAGTGTGCCCACCTGCTTAGGTACCCAAATGCCATCTCTGTTCCTCTTCCTCCCTCCGATGTTAGCTGCTAGCTGTCCACAGGCACAGTGCCCTGCCCTCTTTAGCTTTTGTTTTCTTCACACTTGTACAGATAAATGGAGGAACCTTGCTATAACATGGCAGAAGCAAAGCAGACAGGTACAAAGCATATAAGCATAGACACTAGGAAAGTATTTTAGGCATCATCTCACACGACTGATAAGTAACAGGTTGAGTAAGATGTTCTGCAATATATTTTGTTTCCTAAATGAACTGACTTTTCAAATAGCACTGCTGCACATGAAATAAAAACACACATGCACTGTCATGTCTGTGAGACAAATTACATTGGTAACCCTTTTTTTTTGGGGGGTAGATAGAAAAGGGCATCTTTTGAAACTACAAATTCTCATGGTCCAAGAGATCTTCACCACGTAACTCAATAGATGACGAGCAGATGAACCAAAAGATTCATATAGAAGTAATTGTGTAGAAATTAATTCTCAGGCCAAGACTCTAGCAGGATGGACTCGGGCCCACTTGTGGAGAATTGTAGCTTCTTTGCCCAAGTTTTGAAATTACTGAAAAAAAATAATGGGTAGTTCAGTTCCCTCACTTGGCCTAAAAACCAAACATGCAGGACAATGTTGGGTTTTTTGCATCTTCAATTCAAAAATGTGAGCCACGAAACTGCAACCACAGCATGCAGAGCCACATCCTTTTCACCTGTATTTTAGCAACTCTTTGGGGCCTGGCCTGAGAACATCGTTTTAATGGAGTTAGAAGCAGAGACAACTTTGGGTCACAACTTAAACTGTCAATACAAAAAATTTTTAAAATTTCCACACCAGGAGTTAAATTTTACCATGCCTGATATGTTTAGTTGCATGAACAAGCTCTCACTCAATGGACTAATTTTACCAGTACTAACACTTATATTAACTTAGTAAACATTTTCCTTGTGACTAGAGGGTTGTCCTGTAACTCCTGGCTTTACAAACATCTGGAGCTCTACCAGCCTTAAGAGTTACAAATATATCTGAAAGGAGAAAAAAAAAATAATCACTTGGCCCAAAGTTAAACTTGGGTACATTACACAATCCCGGTGCTGAGCTTTACATCTGTTGTGCTTGGTGTGCCAGGCAACATTATACACACAGAGAGACAGGATTAGTAAGCACAAGGGGGCTTGTTAGGCTTTTCTTTACCCTGACAGGTGTGAAACTCCTGGCTTTGATTCAGTAGAGCACTCTTCCACAAATGACTTGTGGTGACAGTGATGCCTTAGGAAGCCCCTGTCTCATCCCTGTCCTTACACCCTCTTATTCTGGCTCATCTCAACGAATTTTCCTGGATGACAAACTCTCTCAAACAGCAGATGTGAGTGAAAAAACAACCCTTTTTTTGAGTTGTTATTCTTCAGACAGATCAGATCCCTGCCTCAGTGTACAATGCAGCCCCACAAGCCTTCATGCTGGCAGAGCAGCAGAGAGATGGCCACAGCAGGAGGCACAGCCAGAGGGGAGCGAAGAGGGCTGCAAAGGCTCCACTGGGCTCAGCAGCAGCATTGCCACTGCATGACTGTGACCATGTAACACAACTCATGTCCTCTGATCCTACTGTCATCACATTCACAGCATCTAGATGGACTCACACTAAACAGTACAAATTACAAGATTTGGAGGGGAACAATGGGGAAATCTTGTACAAGGTAATGAGCTATTTTTGCCTGAAAGCTACAAGATAAATTCAGATTTGTCTGATCTACTCCCTAGTCTTAGTCCTTAACCTTCTTGCCAGCACTGAAAACTACTGCAGACCTTAATATTCTTTAGATGTTAAAAAGAATTGCAAAAGATGGGGGGAGATAAATTTGTCTTCAGTTACTTAAGAAATAGCCCCAACACACCAAATTGCAGAGGGGCAAACAGCCTTTGCTCAAGGCAAGGGATGTTGTTGCACTAGTGAGACTTCTGGAAGCCAGGCCACCAAATTGAGGGTTTATGTGTGAATGCAGAAGAACCATGTTAGATACCTCTTTTAGAATTGTTAACAACATACACGAGGAAAAATGAAACTAAGGACACAATGAGTCAGTAAGACTTGGGGCATTAGGAAGGCCTGAGCCTGGGCACTACCAGTGCTGTGACTGGCACCCTATGAACAATGACTACAGTCTCTGTCAAGTAGTGTCTGGATAAAGATGTGGTACATCTTAGTCAAAGAAAGAAGGGCTGGTAGCTGTAATTTAACTTTCCTTTCTCACATCTGGAGTTTTCGTCATTGCCCAGGCAGAAATTCCCTTGGATGGCTCTCAACCCTCTGACTGCAATGAATCCAAAATGTTTCAGAGTAGTTTAACATGACTTTCCTAAAAGACAAAAGCTACACAAAAAATTTACTTTCTTGAAACTGAGAACTACAGGACTGGAAATCCACCTGATCTGTAATTCGGCTGCTGGATTTATAATTAACGGTAAACTCCCTATGAAATCTGAAAGGGAAAGTGAATTTAAAACTTACTGAGAACTCAAAACAGGAAAAAACCAAGTCTAGCCAAGTAACTAGCTGTGATGCACATTTGGTACAGATTAACATACTTCACATTTCTGTGTTGGGCACTTGGACTTCCCTTAGAGGTCATGGAGTTGAAAGAATAATTGAGGCAGCTACCTGAGTGAGAATATGAACAGTGCTTGCAAATCCCTTCAGACCTGTTCTCTTGAAGGCTGCCTCTTAATATTTTTAATTCCACCAGACAATGTTACAAGTAGGTCCAGAAGGCAGGGGTGAGGTCACACACTTCCACTTCAGTTCTTCAGTGGAGCTTGGACACCTCACTGGCTGCTATTTACCTGCACTGCTCTGCCAATAAGACACCTTGGGATTACATTGCTTTTAATGCATATTTCAATGTATATTTTCACATATCAGACCTGCTCCCTCTCAAACATTACACCTACACCCCATCTACACCTACTCTCTAGGAGTTATTGATTCTGCTGTACCAAATAAATCTTGAGAAAAGAAGCTTCTAATATGGCAATGCTGGGGAAAAAACCTCAAACATTTTAATACCCAGTGAATCCGCTGGCAAAGACAGCATGATCAAATGGGTAGATTCAGCTGAGCTGCACGCCATCAGCATGATCCCAGATGCAAGGCTCCGGATGGCAGGAAGTTCACCAGGGCAAAGGCCACACTGGAAAAGCCTTGGCCTCCAGCCAGCACAGTCCAAGATGAGAGAAACACTGAACAGGAAGGGGATGTGAAGAAAGCATCCTCCAGTTTCTCTGGTTTGTGCCTCTCCTGGATTTATTAATTTTACACAGTTTTGCCACCAGCTAATTTTTTTTTTCTTTCTAATCTTACCCTTGAAATGCTTGCAAGTCCTGAATAATATCAAAACAACTAACTGCAGCAAAGAACAGGAATAATCAAAGCAAACCAATACCTCCTTGCAGGCAACTTCCTAGGCTTCCAGCTGGGAAACCCAAGAGAAATTGTAGGAAATGATAGTTCTTTATGTAGCCCTCATGGCTGTCATCTTCTGCTTGATAGAGCCCTGATAAAGTGAATTTGGCCAAGGTCTTGAGTCAACCAAATGCAAATCCATGGTCAGTGCTAACCTCACATAATTAATTTAAGATTTAATTAAAAGAATCATATATTCACATTTATTTCAAGAAGATATCAGTCTCCATCCTATAATCTTCTATGGTTCCCCTGGTTCAAGCAGACCACCCTAACCAACAGATAAACTCTGCAAATGTGGGAAGTCACTTCTATAAAGTTCAACTACAACTGTAGTAATACCCACCTGGGCAGCAAAAACAGATAAGGGAAACAAACCTTTAAACAATTCAGTTACATCTGCTGGAAGATGTCTCTCCTTGTTATATTTCTAATGGGGTAGGAAATTTCTGATTTTATTCTACCCAATCTAAGTCTGCAGCCAGCAGGAGCTTGCCTGTTTAACGTCTCTGTATTTGACCCAATGCATCTTGCATATTTGCTTGTAATTTCAGATAGAACAGAAAAGATGAGCAAAAATTAAATAGATTTGCTACTAGAACTTTCATAAACTTTGAAGCTTGGCCAAGAGCCAAGAAACTTTCTTAGTTTTTTCTACACACTTGTGTCCTGATCCCTTCTTGAGAAAGCACAGTCCTTTTTTTTTCTTTAAGTAATTTTTAGCATTTGTTAAAATGCCTCCTTATAGACTGCAGATGCAAAGATCTCTTCTCCCATCTACCCATATTTGCACTAGCATTCTACAACTGACTTTGTCCAAACCACACCTGCCCTTCCCAGCTTGAGGGTTTGAGTTCCACAGAATGATTTTTAACTGCTAAGAACTGATTGTTACCTCTTTTCAGACCTTCTTCTTTGATTTGTTTCAAAGGGGAAGGACCAAATTCTTCCTCCACAGGCCGGAACATCCTTTTGACCAGGACACTGCTACTAGAATACACAAAACAGGGACCATGTCACAATAAAACCGTGCTCACAGCAGAAGAGGAGACAACAGCAAGTCATGACTCACCTTGTACTCTGGCAAAAACACCCACTAGCTACTCAAGTAGCACCAAAAGCAGAAACTGCAAGGATTTAGCTTTTGATGCTTATCTGAACTATCCAGGCCTCTTAAATTGCCAAGACTGACTGTCTGGGACAGGTGACAGGAAAATATGTTCCAATGTTACACACTAATTTGAAAACCCCAAAGGCCCTCAACTGTTTAAATACTGAGGGAAGGGGGGTGGTTATTGCTTGATGCAATACACCCCTGTGTTTCTCAAATTCCACTGGAAGCCTTATGAAGATCATTAGTTTCAAAAAGAAATAAAAAGGGCCTCATGTTTTCAAATCAGTGTTGACTGCAGGTGCTTGGCCACTCCCTAGCACAGGTCACTAGAATTGCAGATTTATGGGAGTGTAGTTATGTTAGTCCAGAATCTCAGACTTCAGGGTGTTCACCTGGGGATTCAGGCAACTTGCAAAAGTATGGGACTGGCACACAGTGTGGGCTGAAGTTCAGCAGCCCATATTAAAACCCTTATTTCATGGCACCTCTAACTATCAGAGGGACTTTCATCAATTCTTCCAGTCCCTCCAAAGTCGGATGGGGGTACTCCCATTTCCAACCTTTGTCCTTCCCAGGTTCTCTCTTCTCTTTCTGCCTTTCTCTTCTGGCACTTGGCCATTCTGTCTGCAGTTCCTGTATTTGTTGCATGCACATGTATGCACTGCTAAACAGCTTTCAGGAATGCAGTGAAGTTCAGTGCTTCAACAAAAAATTCCAGTTTTTTAAATTATTTGAGAACTCTCATGCCGACATAGATGGCACTTCATTGTCATATATATTGTCCTCTCCCTGTACGAAATCTTAGGACTCTTTTACTTGGAAATGTATTAAAATACAGACATAAAAAGCAAGCAGTTTACACGGAAGAACATGAGGGAAGGGGAAGAAAGGGGTCAGTTTTATCTGATTTCGTATTTTGTATCAACTTTCTTTGAGTTTAAACTGTTAACTGCAAAGCTTGTGAAACAATAAATATCTTACCCTTCTCTCTCGTCATCTGTATTATAGTAAACCTAGAAGGATGGAAATAAAAACCAATTATTCCCAAAACTCAGGCACTTGCTTAACAGAATAACTTCAAAAGAGAGAAAAGACAACAAGTGTTTTGCAGTTTGTCATATGTTAAAAATACTTTTCCTCCTAAAAAGCACAAACACCTCTAGTTCTAACTGTTATCTGGAAGAAGAGTGGCTTAGAGAAACTGCTGTTGAATACCATCTACTGGAAATACATCAAAGTTTATTTGAGAGACATTACCCTCTTCCCTGCTTTATATCATTTTCCCAATTATTTTACAATCCTCTAAACCAGATTGCTACTCACCTAAATAAACCCTAATACAGTTTAAGCCACAACACTCAAAAGCTTTTGTATGTATTTAATACTGTCTGAAAATCTAATTAAACTATAAAGAACAAGATTAAACTTCAGGCCTAATGGAAATACAATTACTAAAGGTACAGCTGAACATTTGTTGCACAGGCTGTGGGTAGAAGCCCAAGTCCAGTTTTGTGTAAATCCACGTAGCTCAGAGTCACCAGGACCAAATTTACAACAGCAGCAAATGCAGCTGACAGTAGCAGGGGAGGTATAAAATCACAGTCTCTTGTCCAACACTTTACAGAACAGTCAGCCAAACTCCTCACAACATTCCCACACTGCAGGTCTGCACCAACAAGTGCACCAGCCCTGCAGCTGCTGAGCTGCGGTGCAAGCGCGGGCCGGGGGCACAGGGCACCGCAGCTGCTCCTGCTGGGCAGGGCAGGGCATCCCAGGCAGGCCTCCAGCACTGGGGCTGGCAAGACACTCAGAGCACACTCAGCTCTCACTGGGAGCCTTCACTTCTGAAACTGTGCAATGAAAATAGCTCAGAGGTGTGTGTGTGTGTGCAAAGCTGAGGCCTGTAACTATGGGTTACAGCAATAAAAAACATGGCTGAACATTGCCTGAGAGCTAGGAAAAGGGGATATCTTCCAGTCAGTTTAGAAAATTATTTACAGGATTATATATACTAAGGAATGTTTCCACCACCTCCTGTTTTGAAACAAATCCACATTTTGGTTTGAAAGCCATGAGGACAGAAGGTACCCAGCACTGATATGTGAGTGGGCGGCTTTCCAGTTTGGGAGAGTAAGCCCGTGACAGCTGTGATTACAACGTCTGTGCTCTTTGTGCTTTGCTCAACCACAATTCTCCCTGCTTCAAAATAACTGACAATTCCAACACTCAGTTTCATTTAATCTTTGTCATTTTAGTATTTTCCAGCAAGATGCATATTAAATTTCCTCATCAACTATTTGTCTTTATAAACATATGCATAAATGTTTCATTCTACTCCCTGAGATGTTAACATGTTCATAGTAACAAAGTTGTCAGAGCTGACCCTCCAGTTCAGGTTTTCAACTTCCCAGCAGGTGATAAACTAGAAAATAGCCAAGTCAGGAAAGACTTCCTTATGTTTACTAATGATAATAACGGCCAGTACTGAGTATTAACATTAGTATGATGGAGTTTTACCTGGAAGAGTGAAAATATTTTTTTCAAGAAATTTCTACATCTCTACGTGATGCCGACAGAAAATGGGTAGTGGTGTTTACTGACCCTACTCTTGACCTTTCTACACGGATAAGAGCTTGGTCTTTGTGTTTTCAGCTCTGACAGGGAGGGGGATCTCTGCTACCACAAGGTGGCACTTCATTTCACCAAGCCAAAGAGTGCACTCAAAACCAGATTGTGTTTCAGTCACAAATCAGCCTTATACTTGAAAGCAAAAGAATGACAGAACTGTAACAAAACCAAACTAGTCAGTTGTCAAAGAAGTATAAACTCCTTCGAACCCAGAACTCAGAAAGGTACTTGTCTCTTGTAAGGTCCTCTATAAGTGATGTGCAAAAACTGCATTTACCAAAATGAGAGCTGAAACAAGTGAAACAAGTGGCCCCCAGGAACAGTTATTTATCTCCCTAAAACCTGCCCCAGAGCAGAGGCAGCCAAGCAGCAAGTGGGCACCTGCTCATCTCATCATTTCCTACCTGTCCAGTTCTTTGTAGGTTTCCAAAGTGAACATCCGGTATGAAGAGAACGGGCTGGGAATCCAGGTCAGCCATTGTTTTGAAGAAGGTGATATCACTCTTTTTCTGCAGAGGGAGTGCACTCAGCTTCCCTTCAGCTGCTAGGTGGATCACAAAGCACAGGGTTGTGAAAGAAGACATGTTAAGCCTGATTTAGCCCCAGACCAGAAAGGACCACTTCACTCACCATTATTACATGAGGCTTGGGATGCCTGGCCTTTGCCTTTCTTCCTGTTCTGCTTTCTCTCTTCATCTCGGATTTTCCTTTCTGCTCCCTGATACAAAAAAGACAATCCATAGGTATTATCCAAAGAGGAACCACCATGAGCACTGTACTCTGCAATGCCTGGAACTACAGCATCAGACACACAGAAATGCTAAAAGAGAAACTGGTCATTTCATTGAAGACAGTTCTGTCCAGTCTGTTGGGAAGGTTACCAGGCTTTGCAGGATCACCTGTGCCTGAGACTCAGCTGGCACATCCAGTAGCTCCCAGGACTGCAGACAGCAAGGAGAACAAATCCACATGTTGGTTTGGAGGAGCCAGGACAGGCAGTATGCAGTCTGTAGCAGGACTGATGCCAGCACAGCTTGTGCAAAGGGCATTCCAAGCCCAGTGTCTCTGCAATGGACAGAGTGCTCAGGCCAAATATTTTGTGTATGTAATGGCATAAAACACCTGCAGGATTGCTATCATTTTACATAATGTCTGTGCTGAGGTCTTCCCTAAACTCTCCTCCACCCACTTTGTCTGGGGGTAGCATTGCTGCACTGTAGCCAGCTGTGCAGAGCCTTTGAGAACTGACAGTCCAAAAAGGCTGTGCTGACAGCTTGCCAACATTGCAAGGGTTCTTACAGAAAAATACAGGCATTTCAAACTGGGAGAAGCTCTCCAGAAATAGGAAAGCAATGTAGCACTGCCCTATTAGGCACCAGGAACTCCTGGGAAGTTGCAGGCTTCTGTTATGTAAATACACTCTCAACAAGTTTAAAAAATAAAACTTGTTATTGACATAAAAAGCAGCAACACCTCCTTTGAAGTTCTCCTAATTTACTTTATAAATAATACCTATCACACTGTGAAGGGTAATGAAGATCCATATGCTCCCAGACAGTTGGCATGCAAGATTACAGATTTTTTTTCCAAATTAAAATTAGAAGTTTCTTGAATAGAAGGGGAGAGGAGGGAGGTAAGGAAAGCAAAAACCACCCACCCAAGATGGTAAAATTCACACATGAGTCAATGAACCAAGTTTAGAAAGAGTGCAAGGAAAGATGTACTCCTGGCTGTGATCTATCAGTAGATTTCCAGAGGCTGAAAGAGCTGGAGGAAGAAATAGCTCTTTAGGAAAACATGAATGTGTCAAACAGAAACACTGCCTCCAGATCAGATCCCAGTCCAGCTGTCACTCACCAACCTCAACCACAGAAGCCAAGAGATTCAGAGTTGTGCACTCACCAAAATTTTAAGTGGCCTTTAAAGCCACCTGTTCTTTCTAAGAAAGGAGCAAAAATACACATCCCAGTCACTGTTCAGCAAAAAGCACATCCTGAGAAACCTGTGCTGCACAAAGGGCTCTGCCAGGTGGCCACAGCCCTGCCTACCACTCAGTGCTGCCACTCTGCTGCTCACAAGGAAGGGGATGAACCACCAAAGTATTTCATACACAGCAGCAAGAGTGAGCTTCCTCTCAGGAAAGCAGAAACTGAGGAGGATTCAGCCTTTTATGCATAATAAAAAATACATGTTTTACTGATTTTCTGTAATATTCCTTGTAACCATGAACTTGGTGACACTTCACAGCTTTCTCTTCATTCATTCATTCAAGGCAACACACCCCAAGATCTCTGGGGTGCAGGCAATCCCTGAGCTGGGCAGTCATTCCCATCCACCAGTGTTTATTTGTGCCACAGCCACTTCACAAAAGTGGCACCTGCAATACCCACAAAATTACCTACTAGCCCTTTGAGCTTGGAGCAGCCCACATGGCACACGGCAGGGGCCAGTCAAGCCTACAGGATGAGACCACAAAATTATTTTTGCATACTAGAGCATTTCTGCTGCATAGTTTTGACAGCTGAGCCATGTGACACATACCTAATAAACCACACTTTGCACATCTCTTCAGGACAGAAGAAATGACCCTCCTACTGGGGACTATAAACTATGCTGTGACCAGTGAAATAATGAAAGGAGTTCTTAATTTTTTCATTGATATCTGGGCTTTGTATAAATGCAAGGAGTACTTCTGCTACTAATCATTAACAAAATGCAGCCTTCAAATTTCAGGTGATTCAAAGTATTTTCTTCCTAATCCTTCAACTCATTTAAACTTAAGTCTTGCACCACTCTGATGCTCACGTGTACTCTTGCTTCTAGTTCCAGGCTAAAGCATTCCAAATCTCATTGGGCAGGCACACAGACATAGGCTGATAGGCTGATGTCTATGTGCCTGCCCAATGAGATGTGGAATGCTTTAGCCTGGAACTAGAAGCTCTCTCCAAAGCTGAAGATTAATAGGCAATTAGAGTTGCTCAATACTCTATGATAGTCCATTTTCTCTGTGATGTTCCGCACCAAAAACAAGGATGTGACAACTGCACATATTTCAAAAAACATGTATTTTTTAATGTTAAACAAATTTGGATTAATTTATTTTATTTTGGATCAATGTTATGGTATTTGCCAAGTCAAGTTCTGTTTCTTTTCAGCAAAGATAATCACATATAGAAAATCAAGTAGCTCTGAAGTCCCAGTTCTTTCATACACAGTGGCTAAAGCACTGTGCAATATATAAATATAAATAGGCCTGGTAGCAAGTTTCCCTGACAACCTACTTAAGGGATAAAAATTAGATATTCTTATAATGCAGCATCAGTGATCTGCTCTGATGACTGCAAGGCAGAGAATTACCACTGACAAAACAAGATGTGGACTGTAACAAATGCTTTGAAGATTGCTTACTGAAAAACAAACATGGACAAAAGATTGGATGACAAATAGGGAGTATAGACTCAAATAAGGAGTATGGTAAAGTTAATTTGTTAAGTAACATTTACAGCCTTTGCAGCATTTATCTCCATACATTTATGTCACAAAGCACATACTGGATGTGAGTTGGTGTTGCTCTCTAGCTTATATGTAAACTAATATTAAAATCAAGGAATTGCCAGAATAAATACTGATATATACATAATATGTACCACTTAGCTAAATGCAGTTTTATTTCTTTAAAGATATCTCTCTCCACAACAGCTATGCTGTGTTGCAGCTACAAGACATTAATTTGTCAGTGAATGGTCTTAAAAACTGGACACCTCCACCTGTGATTTATCCAAGTGAATATACAAATACACTCACTGGTCCTAAAGAGGCACCACCACTACAGAAAGAAACATTTTTAATAACATCTCAGGCACAGAAACATTTTTTCTTCTTCTTCTTTCATGTACCAGAATGAGAAACATTTCATACTTAGGGAGGAGGAATTTACTGTGCAGTTCCACTAGGCCAGGTGACTGTAATAAATCAGGTACTTTTGTCATCAGCTTCTCTTTGAGGCTGTCAGACTGGGGCATAACAGTGCAGTTCACACTTTCAGAATATATAAAGATCATTACATGACTGCTGGGTGGTTTTTTTATGTTCCTATAGTACCTCTTCAATTCATCATGACAAGGAGGTGGGCAATAAATAACAGTCTCAGCTTCATGGCCTTTCCCAAGGAGGCAGCAAGCTTTGTCCATGTCACTGTGGGGAGAGCCACAGGCTAGCAAGAGAAACTGAACCATTTAGCACCACCTTAACCAAAGCCAGGGGTTTATTTTGACACCTTGGAAAGATGAGGATACCCAGCCACACCAGCTACCTTCCTCTGAGCACAATGAATTTTCCCAGTGCCACCAGCAAGTGGAACTTCTCCAAACATTTATTTACTTCCAAAAGCCCTGTGACAAAGGGATGTTGGTAAAGATCTGACAGCATAAGTTTGGGGAGAAGCAAGAATTTGTCTCTTACCAAGTGCCAATTAGCACAAACTGTCATGTGCATTGACCTCGATAATTTTCATTTGCTCAAGTCACTTTCACACCCACATTAACTTAAAAAGCTCTACATGTGTGTATACATTTATATTAAACACACATCTAGCCTATTATCAATACCCTTGAGCCCTTCAGTTCCCATTTCTAATACATTTTTGATGTGTATAACACTTTAACTACCCCTGTGATCTTTCCTTCTACTTTGAGACAGTTTTGATTAATAGACTCAACATTCATTTCCTGCTTTTCGGTCTGGCTATTTGAAGCTCCAATTAAGCCAATGGATGCAATGAACGTGTATTATTCAAATTCTCCACCAGCTGTATCTAGAGGTTGCCCTTGATGAGTTTGTGCTCTGAATTGCCTTCCTTTTTTTAAAATAATTCAAATTTTTCTAATTGCTCTTCAGAAACAGGTAGATGAAAACTACTTGTTACTTTGATATTTACTGAGCTTTTAAGATCCAGCTGTAGCTTCAAATCTCTCAATATCTGACATTCAAAGTTACAATTAAAAGCATAGCATTTTGGCTGTAAGAAGACGTTAGTGCATACATTTACATTCATTACTTCCAAAGATTTTCCTCCACTAACACAACTGACTGATTAGCCCTCAAGATGTCGTTGTCAAAACAGCAACAAGGGAATGAACTGAAAAGGGGGAAGGAGCAGCAACACAGAGACCTGAAACAGTTGAACTCTTACCCTTTCCATTAAAAAGTTAATGTTATGTTTTGCCTGGGGCATGGCCTTTTGTCTTTCTATTCCCACTTGTAGGATGGCAAGACTAATTTGGATAAATTTCCAAGTCACTTAAATAGATGTAGGCTTCTGAATCCCTGAACCTTGACTAGAATCCAGGCATCAGCTCCCCTATGAAAGGTGTTTCTCAGCATGGAGAAAGTAATCAGCTGGCAGATGCTAAACAAAGCTGAAAAGTGGTTGCACCCTCTTTGAAGAATCATCACTGACATTTCTGAGCAGCTGTTTCTGCCTGGTGATATACACTGCTGACCATGACACTGTCTAATTCATTCAGGCATGACCTATGTCTGGGCACTGAAACATCTTACTAGTCTCCACAGAGGAGCAGTCATACCTACAGCAAAAACCCAAAATTTTGCTAAAGAGGGTGTGAACACACACAAAAAATAGTTACTGAATTACAAATTGGGAATGGCTAAGGAAAACCCATCAGCTGTGTCACTGGAATTTGCTGGTTTTCACTGCATCATAAAAGGGAGCCTAGCAGATTCTCACTGAAAAGTGCATTTTTTTCTGTCAGAGAAACTGACATGAAGTTTACCTGCTCTCTATCCTGGCTGTCAGTTAGAAGGGATGACATCAGCAGACTGCCACTTATGTGAGTGAGCCTGTGATCAGCACTGACCCTCCAAATAGAGATATATTAGCATTTGCACTTTCTATTACTTTTTTGACATTCCATAATCATGACCTATAACATGCTGTCCTTAAACAGTTCAACTATTGCTTACAAGCTGAGGAATCAGGGCCAAAAAGACTGCAAAACAGTAAAATAATTACATTATAATCAGTTTGATTTGTGATACCACACGGACCAAATGCTATGATGAAATACAATTCTTTAAGGAAAGAACCAGCATTTAATTAGGTCTAAAATACAGCAACAATAAACTGCCTAACAAGATTCCTCCTTCATCCATGGTAACTGTGCTTTGCACTTACCTTGTCACAAAAAACCTTGATCTGGCAGTAGGCTCGGTGGATAGGTTTATTGCTGCGGTTGTTGTAGCTGTAAGTATCGATCTGAATCATCAAAGGAAGCCCTTTTACTCCTTTTTGTGAGGAGAAGTCTGTGCTCAAGCAATTCACTGTGATGAAAATCTGTGTGCCAGAGAGATTACTTTTTAAAATGTGGTGCAAACAACAATTAAACTTCCAGAAATACATGACAAGAAATGGGAAAATAAAATTAAAAGGTTTTAATTCAGCTATGATGCACACTCTGGCAATTCACACATTTATTCTCCACTTCTGTCCAGCAAAGACACTCCCACCCTGAGAAGAACAGACTTGAAAGCCATATATTGGTGTTTCAGTTTGGATCAGAAGCTCACATTTGACGTGAATCATTTGGTTCTCCCAACTTATCCTGCTTTGGTTCACACCAGAGCTCAGAATACACGAACTGGATTCTTTTTGGAAGAGTCAGACCATGAAAGATATATTCCAGGAGCACTCAGATCCTCCAGCTGCTCACAGTTGCTTAATTCATGGGAACTAACTACAGACAATCTGAGATAAAACCTCCTAAAACGTGCCTTATGTGGATGTCAGGTCTTTAGCCCTTACTTGTTCCACTCTACAACCCTGTTCTGCACGTTTGCACTATTTGTTGATACAGATCATCATGCTTCATCCTTTCCAGCTGCCTTAGGTATGGCCTGTTCATCTGACAGCTCATTCAAATTCAGTGGGACAAAGATAAACTCTACCCCTTTTCTTCTATTTTAAACATTTTCTTCACACTCTCATCGACACTACTGCTTTCTCCATCCCATCAATAGATACTCCTGTGTTTCACTTTAAGGGCCCTTCACAGTCTTTCCTCAGTTTTAAAGATCCATCACAGCCTGTCTTTCAAACTGGGAAGGAATTTTTCAAATATTAAAAAACTACTCCCTTCCTCTTCTCAGAAGTTCTCTTTGTTACACAGCATCCACATAACTTGACTGCATTCAGAGAGTCACAAAGTCGTCTGAGCTGGAAGGGACTCAGAAGCATCATCGGGCCCCGCTCTTAGTGGCCCATCCAGGTCCCTTGCTCTCCTTCTACAACACAAACTTACAACCTGATAGCCACTAATCATCTCCCTCTCATTAACTCAATTGGCACCATGGGACAAGGTGTGTGTCATCTGTACAGGCCCTGGGAGGAGGGTCTCCCACCAAAAAAGCCTTCCAAGGACTATTCTGATGTAAAGCAAACATTATGAACTGAAATACCACCAATAGCTTTCAGTGAGGATGGCATTCATAAAACTCAGAGAAGAAACTAGATTAAAAATCTAATTTTCAGCCCAATGAGGAATATGTGCATTACATAATAATTTGGGGCAATTGTCTATCAACCTGATTCTACTTTTCACTTGCCCTTAGTTTAAAAAGCAACAACAAAACACCAAAACAAAACAAAACCCCAAAAGTGTGAACCAAGGAAAAGGACTGAGAACACTAGCAGTACATACTCCTGAACCAGGAGGATGTGAAACCTGCTGCAGAAGAATAAGGACACTCAGGAAAGAAGAGATCTCAAACTGGTCTCTCAAACACATCTGATGCACACCTCACTGGGCAGAGGGGAGGGCAGCAGGCTCCCGGGGTCTGGGAGTATTCCTGAAGGAAGAGCATGAAGGACATCCCCCCTCCTTCCCCTCCATTCCACAAACAGGGAAAATAAACCAACAGGGTGAGCAACCAGAATGCAACATCCCTAAGAATGCAACATCCAAGAAAGACAGCTGAAAATAAAAAGAAGGGCTCCAGCAGGGCTGGTAGGGGATACTTTACCCTCCTGGCAGAAGTTAACATTACAGTCAGGGTCTTTATGATGGAGCCAGAGCAGCTTGTTTGCCTGACTGAGCTAATGGCCCCTCCTCTCTGCTTCTGATTGTATCACAAAGCTGCATTTACAAATGAAATAGTTGAACTTTAACTGTGGACAGAAGAGGGAGGCAGGGAAAGGCCCTAGGTGAAACTCTGATTTTGAAGCTGATAGTGTTATTTCTGTTTCAAATTACAAGTTGATCTCCTCCAGCTCCAAAGATAAGTGTAGACACAGCAAATGCACCTTTGAAAAATGACAGCCTGAATTTTCGTTTGCCTTCAGAATCATTTATAGTGTCAGGGTAATGGTTTAAAGTGTGTGAACACACGGTAGTGGAACGAAGTCCAGCATAAAACAGAATCTGGTCTCTCTATATTTTAGCCCATACTTCTACACAGAGAATTTTCTAAAACGTATATTCAAATATGAGAAGACATGCAGGCTTTGCATCTACCTAGCAGTTTGTACTTCTTCCACCCTTGCTGAACACTCAGCTGAGAAGCAAAAAAGATCTTGTCCCACCTTAATCAACTACACACGCTGCATCGTCTCTTTCACTGCCTCCACAATCGCAGAGCAGAGTAGGAACGGCTGGGGAAGACAGACTTCATGGTTTCAAGAGTCCCCATACAGCAATAACAGATTATTCAGCATGAATAATAGATAGATGCTGCAAGACTCAATATCTTGTCCTGACACTGTAATACATCAGGCTCCCTCTGAGGAGCAATGACTGTACATTCATGCACGTGACGTGTACTACACTTTCTGTCATATCATTTGCACCTCACAGACAGACACATGGATTCAAATTAACACAGATCGTTGACACCGGGGAAATTTTCTGTCTCCATGCAATGTTCTGTTAGCTTTCCTGTAAAGCAACACACTGACTTTGGATTTGGAAAACAAAGGGGTGTACAGAGGGAAAGGGAAGAGGGGGAAGAGGGCATCGGTTCTGTTATTTATTTTAGGGTTTTTCTTCTTTGTATGATTAAAGATTTGCACCAGTGCAGCAGGCTGCTATGGTGAAGAGGACCTGAAGAAACATCTGGACAGTTCCCTTCTCTCTCCCCTGGTTTGCCCAGAAACTACCTCTCTAAAGCAGTGATCTGCTCTGAGCAGCACTGATTTCAGCCATTTGTCCAAACACATCCTGCTTTGCCCTTTGCAACTCTCACCTTCCCTCTCTTTCCAGCTCCTGTTCATAATGCATGTACTCCCACTCTTGATGAGACAAGGGGCAAAACAACTCCATGGGCAGCCACAAAATGGAGTGCTATTCTACTTTTCTTAGAAGATACCCAGATTTAAGATCTCCTTTGCTGTGGTATTTTGCATAATAGAATTAACATGGTTAGAAAGTGTAGAGTTAAGTAGAAATTACAGTAGCAGGAAGAGAAATCACTGTCTCCCTCCCAAGCCCTGTCTACACTTGTCTTTGAACTGTATTAATAAAAGTTAGTATGATTGTACCCAAATTCAGATACAACTTTTTTTTTTTTTTTTTTTTCCTGTGCAAACTGGATTTTAGCAATGTTTTGCTATCTGGAACACATTGTATAATTGTCATTATAGTGATGTCTTTTTTTTTTTTTTTAATGTCAGCATATAGTAGATTAAAGCAATTAATGGCAGAGTTCCACCCATCTAGTCTCCAGCTCAGGCATGCCATTGGCAATTAAATACTAATTTACAGAAACATTTGGTGCTGAGAAAGTTTCACAAGTGGCCCAAGATAACGACAGCTCTTCTATTTGTTATAGAGCACGCCTAGAAAAAGCACTCTATCTTTTGGGGACTACTCCTCCACGGTGTAGTTGCTATTACGAGAACTACTGTTTGTTAAATACTGCAGCATAATTAGGGATGTACAAGACACAAACACAGTAAGCTGCCCTAGGGGAAAGCAAGGCTCAGAAGTGCATTTCCCTTTTTATCATTTAATTCAGCTAACATGACTCTTGCTGTGGTCTCACAGCTTATACACTAAAGGTCTGCAGCTACGAAACTTCTAATATTAGCCTTTTATTACTATTTACATTTCTGGCTCCCATTGTCTCAGAAACTGCCAAGGGCAGAAGGGAGGCACAAAATAAGAAACTTAAAGCAATTTCTCTACTGAATACTGGCAATACATAGAACCCTGGTGACGGGTCTCTTAAAAGTCTGCTTCAAAAGGTTCCTCCCTCCAGACCCTAACAACAAAGAGTTAACTGACTTGTCTCTCAAATGACTAACATCAATCCTATCATTCCTCATATACACAGAAAGTGTGGGTTTATAGTTTCTCCTACCAGCCGTTACCTTATAAATCCCACACAAAGGTAAGACCTTTGTTTTATTTCAATACAAATGTCTCCAGCAAATGTTTACACTACTCTTTTGAAGCTTCCTCAACCCACACCACACCCCGGCAACTACATAAAAATGCCATTTGCTTTGAATCCCAGATGCATACTTACCAAGCCATTTGTATACACTGAATTTCAACATTATGTGCTACCACAGGTTAACTCTTCTCTAATATATACACGTGTGTGTGCATGTCTCACATCTATATATACACTCATATATATATATATATGCACACTTGCACACACAGACATGGTCTATTAAAGTAGCTGCCAAGTCTAATCCTACATAATTTCTGCTACTAACTCCCCAAAAAGAAGCATATTTTCCTTCAACCCCTACATTTTTAGAGTAGAGAAGATGTTAATTTCCTTCCTAATTAAATTAAATTTGATATAACTTGAGAAGGAAATTCACGATTAAGAAAAAAAAAATCTTATACTAGTCAAAGCCTTCCTAAGTATCACTAACAATGTTTAAGAAATATGGATTGCCACAATACAAATTACTGCTAGAGATAGTGCTGCTCTATAAGCTTGACTTTACTATTGTACCCACTGGAATTGGAGCTCACTTTGGCCCACAATATCCAAGAACCTAATCCTGCAAATCAGTCACTCTTTGAAAACAGCTTATTACTGTATGAGCCATGCCAAAACTCATTAAATAACTGGAAAGGTTCCCAGAGGCTTCAGCATACTTTGGATTAAAGATCTACATTTCAGTTAAATATAGCAGGGCAGTTACTGCACGCAAGTATACACAACAACTGTTCAGCACACAACTCCTGCACTCACTGAAATCACCTCACTCATCTGCCAGCACCTGCCTGAATAATACAGCCACAAACATGTCTGTTTATTGCATGCCCAAGTAGCAGTGCTTAGCAGAAATCTGCAATCTCTTGATATCACAGAAAACTGCTTGTCTCTTTAAAGTGACATTTTTTGTTAGCAGCTGCTCATTGAAGTAATATCCTTGATTTTAAGGCTAAAAAATACTTTCCATAAAAATATACAATTGTTTCAGAAGTAACACCATCATAGCCAATTTAAATACGCCAAGTACCTACCAGAGAGAAGTCATATCTCAAGGAGGTAGTATGGCTTATGACAAATATATTATTCCTTGACCAAGAGAATTCTGTCTCTTTAACTATCTTTCTTGCAAACTAAGTTCTGCCAGTGCTAACACTGCAAGCAGACAGATGAATGTCTACCAGAAATGAAGCTGAGTCTGTTCAAGAGCCTCCACTAGAACTATGTCCACTCACCAGATGCTGCAGCAAAATCTTCTATAGGGCAGCAGCAAGGCAACTACATATCTTCTAGCATATTATAAAGACACTTCTAAAAGATAGTTAAAAAGTCAGCCAGTTGTTGTTAATTGTTGTTTGTTTCATAATCTTTAAAAAAGAACTCCTTTAAAAGTACCAAACACAGCATTTGTATTCAACCAAAGGGAGACAAATAATCACCTCACCCATAAATGCTACATGTATATAATAGAATTAAATATGGGAGGGAAAAAAAGAGGGATTGTACAAAACCGTTCTTCTCTTCCTACCCCTGCTCCTTTATAGCAATATTTTTGTCTTAAGAAAGCACTGAGTTTGACATAGCTATGGAGCCTTCCCCTCATTTCCCTGGATCCTACTCTGAACCACAAGCCCCCTCTAGAAAACAGTCCCAGCAGAAAAGGATGCTGTTCTAGGAAAGGGTAAGGATACGCCAGGACTAACTTTCCTCTGCCAGAAGGCAAGGCAACTGCTGCTGTCAACCAGGCACAGCAGAGAGAACACTAGCAGAGTGGTGTTTCTGACTTTGGTGCTGTTTCCTTAGTTCACAGAAAGCAATAGTGTGATTATTCCACCTTTGACATGCACTGCACAAGATTCTGTTTCCACTGACTTGTTCTGCCAAGCAGCAGTTGGAAGATGAGGCACCAAGCATGGGGTGAATAGGAGCCAACAGCCCAGTTCCATTGACATTACTGGGAGAACAGAGAGGCCTCTGCCTGTACCCTCTGGATTCCTGTTTATTCCACTAAGACCCAACACGAGATGCTGCCTTAGCAGCCCTCAGCAGGCTTTCTGGTAGCTGGCAGATTCTGACTGCCACACCCATTCTCTTATACCTTCTTCCTGAAGGGCTGCGAGGGGAAGGCCTGCTCTGTCTGTGTGTGAGAGGAAAAGTCTGACTTCAAATGAGGAGAAATATGGCTTTAAATTAGCTGCCATCCAGGTGGAGTAGGAAAGTGAGAAAACTGATGCTCAAGATAGATCTTCTAAATGTGGGATTTAGTTTCACAGCAGGGAGAGGCAGATTTGGTTAGGTGATTTCTACTACTTCTGTTTGATTTCCCACATCACTCCCCAGTATACTTCCAACAAGAAGTTTTTCTTTGCTTCTTCCAGGGCCAGCAGAGTGCTTCATCACATCCCAACTCAGAGGCCCTGAAAAGAACTGTTGTGTGATAGTCTGACTTGGGGAAAAAAAAGGCTTTTGTGCCTCTGAAGGGGTTAAGTTTCTGAAAAGAACTGTTGTGTGGTAGTCTGACTTGGGGAAAAAAAAAAGGCTTTTGTGCCTCTGAAGGGGTTAAGTTTTAATCTTGAAATTGTGGTGAAAATGGAAAATAATACTGAACAGAAACAATGGAGGCAGTTGAAAGATCATCATTCAAAAAGCTTAGGAAAAGGGAGTCTGTAATTATGCCTTGAAATTCTTCATCTTCCAAGGATGAGGTAATTGCTGGAGAAAAAACAGCCTTCAGTGACGTGCCTCAGAACCCACAGCTTTCCAACACCTCAGGGGCATCCTATGGGAATCCCCAGACCCAGTGCAACCAGTTATTGTAACACTTTCCAACAGGAGCAAGCATGTACACATACTTGTGTGTGGGGAGGGAAACACTGTAGTGCAGACAAAGTGATAAGCTTTCAGGTACAATCTGATTTATACCTGATAGCCAAACACTAAAGCACGTCATGAATCCTCTTTTATCAATATATTTACAGTTCAAGCTCCTAAAAGATCAGATATTTAATACCCCAAAATAAATATGCATAAGCCAATTTGCATTTTAATCACTATTTCCTGCAGAAATACAAGCAGCTTAAATCTCAATCCTAGCATTTTTTTAATCCAGAAGGAGTCTTTATTTTAAAATCTTAGCTTGTTTTGTTTCCAGTGATCATTGCAAAAGTTGTGTTCATAATGTTCTGGCACCCAAGGCAAGAGCCAGGTGAATGGTGTGAGATTAGAAAAAAACGTCCATGGTTAATACTTGACATTAATGGATGTGACTTCCTTGTTCCTAGATCAACACGGGTGTCTTGCTGAGTCTGGCTTGGGGCTGCAAATGCAAATGTCTTAGAGAACTGCCAGGCCCGGAACAAGACTGCCACGTTCCAGCCCTGGTAGTGCTTCTGTAAAGGTCCTCGAAGAAGACTGCTGCGTTGGAGATCCCAAATTGGTATTTGCTTGCACAGTGATCACGCACACACAACAGTCGCCTATTGTGACTACAGAGGACAACCTACTGCTGTATTTTGAAATGGAAACACATAATAGGGAAATATCTGGGGCGGTGAAAATGTAATCACTGCATGAGTAAATACAGCACCATTAGCAACTGGGACAAGTACAACTCTGTTTATCAAGGCCTGCTTTTGAAAGAGCTGTGTGATTTTCAGAACTATTGTCTTTTCTTTTAAGATGCGCATCAGAGATTAAAATCCCTGTTACTATAAACAGCACCTTCAGTCAGGACAGTGAGTGTTAATGCTACCACTCCGTGTTCAATACAAGTTCTCAGAGGACTCACTCTGATGATGCAACCTCTCTAATGCTGCTGGAAATGCAGTGGGCAATTGTGCATGAAGAGGTCTTTGTATTTGAAAGAATCACAGCTCTACTTAAATACTGGACATTTTGTGTTCAACATGAAAACAGTATCAGGAGTTTGCTGAGCTCAGTGTTTGCTGTTTATTAACCTACATCCCCAAGAGTACTGCATTACCCCCACTCATTTTACACAGCCTATTTCCCTTGTTTGCTTTCCGGGGGCCAACTTCTTCTTATAATTACCGGCAGTTTTTCATTTCTCCCACACTAGTCCATGCAGTTGAAGCACTCTGACAGCCTTTGTACAACCTTATCTGTAAGAAACTAGTTAAGGTGTTCTGCTATCCTGGTTTATAGGTCCACTTAAGAGTCACATTCCTGAACGAAGACCCCATGCCTGAGGGTACTCGACCATTAAAAAAAAAAAAAAAAAAAAAAAAAGTTAAAAAAAGCCTCAGTCCTCAAAAATACATTAATTCCAAATTGCAAAATGTTCTGTGTAACAATATAAAAAATAATGGCACCAACACACGGGAAGGCATAGTCTAACTTACAGAATATGGATTATGGGAGATGCTTAGAATGCACAATGAAAGTTGACAACTTGGAGAAAGAAAAGACTCAGCTTGTGTCTTACACCTGGCTTTGCAAATAGGAAAAAAATCTTTCACTGTTTCTCAGGCTGGGCACCTACCAACAAGCCCTCTTATTTGTCAGAAAGGAGAGAAGTGGAACTGTGCCTAACGATGGATGGTGCTTATAAAGGGATGCCGTCTGCATGGCTTTTCCTCACCTTTGCCTCCTCATTGACATCCCAAGTAAAGGACACAGCATTGAATGCAATTTCTTCAATATTCCCAATGGTATTAAAACTCTCCTTGTAATCAGCTGTAAGAAAAAAAACAAGAGTCATGAAAAAAATTGAACTGTTTTACAACTCTGATTTTTTGCCTCTTAAGCTGTGTTGTCTAGTGCATCAAAACCACCTCTTGTATTGTTTACAGTTAATTATGAATAATCTTAATTGCAAAGAGGTAATATAATGCAACCTGAGTCTTATGCATAGTGTATCACTAGCTAATGTTCTTGCAAAATATTGTTGGCTCTCGAAAAGGAGTGTGACTCTACTGGCAATGAGTCAGTGCATTCATTAGCTTGGCCAAGGAATGGCCAAAACTGGAAAATTAACTGAAAACTACTGAAGCATTTAAAGGGACTGTTCAAACAAGAACATTCTTTATATTAAGAAAACACATAGTAAATCCTAAAGAAGCTTTCTAAAAGTCTAAGAGCTATGACTGGAGGAAATCATCAGCGTGCATTCCAACTTTCCCAGGAATTACTGCACTGGAAGCTGGATTAATATTTATATATTATTAAAAACAAAATTAAAAACCCCACAAAAAATCGAAACCATGACAAATCCCCCACAAAGAACCAAAACCACAAAGATCCTTTTTCCAAAGTATGTGCACCACTAAAACAGCAAATGAAGAAGAAAAAAAAGAATTTAATTTGTCTGACTACAAAATCTGCACCTTCTTCTTACTTCTTCCCCACGTGCTGTTATTATTATCATCAATAAACTAGCATTTTGGAAGGAATGCAAAGCAAAAGGAAGGAAGATTTAAAAGTTTACTAACACCCCCCCAAAACAGTAAGGCTGGAAAACTATGTAAAACAGACAACTTTCAAGTCCTCTTTATAAGAGGAACAAGCACTGCTTTTCTCTCACTTTGCTGGACAGTTTAACACCTTTTATTCCTTTTGATGACAGATTAAGAGAGATACCAGGTAATAGCTGCTTGATTAAAGGAACTTCCAGATCGTTCACACTAATGGAATAACTCTCTCTGGGACAAACATTTCCTAAGAATTCCTCGAGGGTTGTAATTGGACTCAGTGCTAGAGGGCTGAGATTACACTCCTGATCTAAAGTTTGCCCAAATCTGTGCTTCAGAAACATGCTGATTCTTAGCTTTGTAACCAGTTATAGAAAGAGGATGTTTTTGTATTCTGTGCGACACACAAATGATTCCAATATTCATTTCCTTTGCCTAAATTGTTGGTCTCTAAAAAAGAAATTTTAGATAATAACTGCTTTAGCATAATTTATAACAAAAAACGTTGCTACAAGAAGAATTATTTAATGTTTGAGACTGGCAATCAGTATACTTTTCTCTCATTTGAAACACAAGAATGCTGGCATCTCAGTGGGCAAGTAAAATTGTGTTCCTGGGACACACGAATGATTTTGGATACAGTAAAAAAGAAGCACTTTAGACCATAGGAACAGCACGAGATATTTGGTGATGTAGCAAATTAACAAAGTGTTTGAGAGGGCAGGCAGGCTTTTCATTCCCACTTTGAATGCAGATCTCCTTTTTAACTGAAGTCATTGGCTTCACTATCTAAATTCAGTGTGGGGATGCAAATGAGAGGAACTAGAAGACACATAAGTAGTTTAATATGCATGTGCACACATCCACCCACCTCTTAAATTTATGATTCACCAGAAAGTGCCTCGTGCAACTGACTGCTGCATATGGGCGTGCTGTGTAGGTGCACTTTGGAAAGACATGAACAAGATGCCTGGTAAAGACACCTGTTTTCTTGTCTTAAAAGGCTGTCAGAACCTCACATCCCACCAACCCTTCCCTTCTCTCAACACATGCCTCTCCTTTAATTGCTATACACAAATCTCATGGAGTGTCTATGTGACACTGTTAAAAAGGAGAAGTGCATCCTATTCCCCTCAATTTACAGGCAATTAAAGAAGGATCCTCAGTTGATTAAGAAGCCATTTACACCTCAGAATATTTGAAAGCTGTTAGAGTGACTACAACTTTTCCTCTTCTCCTGCTGTGAGTTACCAGAAAGAGAAAATCAGCATGTTCAATAAGCAAAAAATGGCTGCACAGGAATTATTTCCTCTTTTGTTACATAAATTGCATATTAAACAATGGCAATTTTTTTATGTTAAACATTAATCATGCATTACATGTCATTGCATACTTTTGTATTGTGCACATAAATAATACAAACTATGCTGAAAAAAACAAGGGCAAGTTTCTATGGAGCACAAAGCTTCCACACCTACTCTTCATATTTGAACCTGTTCTAGTATGTCAAATTATTGTACTTATTTTAAATAATCAATATCCACTGTGATTAAGTATTGTATTCTTTATTTGAAATTATTTTAAAAGAAAAAGTTAGTGACCCAGTGTCACAGCACTGTGAAAATAAAGTTTTTTCCCCCTGCCCCCTTATTCCTCCTACAAAAAGTAAATATGCACCTTACTCCTTCTTCAGAAAAATCCATTACAGTACACAGCCTAAATTTTGGAAAATACCTTACCTTCTTGCTTAATAAGTGTGAAGCCCTCAGCTTTATTCTTCAAGCACTAAGGACTTGAATACATGTAAGTACATGCTTATCTTTATTAATATCAACATATCTTCAGACCTGTCACTGCACCTAATCCACCGAAGCATCCTTCCTCCCAGGAGGTGCACCAGCCAGTACACAAAACAAATTAAAGCAGTGACCCCTGTGTGTCTGGAGTGAAGGAGCAAGCCATTATTTCCTCTGATGTCCAGAATATAACTGCGGGCCAGAAAGCACACAGACAGATCCCTGCCACAATGGAAGGCAGCACAAGCATAGTCCCCATGTCTGTGCGAGATCTAAACAGCTGGAACTGGAGCATCCCAAATTAATTTGATCCTCTGCCTGCTAAGGACCACATCATGCTCTAGATTAAAAGTACATTTACAAACAATTAGAAAGGATTCACAGATGTTAAACATGCTACAAACATCAAATTAAAATAAGAGCAACACCTGTGGAACAGGTCATGTCGAGTTTTGGACATGTAATTTTCTTTTCTTACTACACAGGGCCTGGACATTAACTCCAAGTGTTTAGAGGACCCTTCGGGGATCTGAATTTTTAACGTAAAGGGAAATCTTCATAGAGTCATTCAAAATAATTTTGCATGGAAGGGACCCCTGGAGGTTATCGGTTCAAGCAGGGCCAACTTCAAATTTGGATTAAGTTGCTCAGGTAGATCATTTGATGATAAAACTAGAAGATTTTGCTAAGTGCAGCTTGATACTTGGGAGCCATTCTGGCCTAATTAGACAGTTAGCCGTACCAAAGAAAATGTAATGTACTTCAGAAATACCATACTTGTAAGAGCTAAGGCTATATTTCAGTTGTTCTCAAGAAAACTCTACTGAGCAACATTTAGGTCTTCTTTTTTTCTGAAAACTGAGGTGAACCATGCTCTTACAGCTCTTATATCTGACAAAAAAGGGCTATATCAGTAAGTCTTACTACACTGTGCTTTGCTCATGTTTGCAGTGCAAACAAAGAATACACACCTCAGTATTCAAAAGTGCCTCAAAAGTCAGCGCAGAGCTATTTCACCTCAAACTAATGGAAAATTAAAAGGCATTCACTTTAACCCAGGTAAACACGCAGCTCATGCACAGCACTTATTTTGCAGAGCACTATTTTTCAGAATATGTATCATAAGTTAACTTGTTGGGGTAAGGCAACTGAAATGTGCCAGGACACCACAAGTGCAGTGGAGTCAGAGGGTGCTAGCACTACAGTGCAGCGAGCTGCTCAGCACATACTTTTCAAAGGTATGAGCACTACTACCACAACCTTGTAGGGACTAGCACAAAAAAAAAAACAGGCAGCCTTCAGAAAGAGTTGTGACGTGGCTTATTTCTTCTTTTAAGGTGTCATGATAAAACTAATTTGTTCTGGGGTAGCAGTTTTACTGAGTTAGGTACCCGAACGGGCAAGAAGAGAAAATGGGGGCAAGGGGAAAAAGAATGAAGTTAATGAAACAGTTCGGACAGAATAATGATGATAAGAGGTAGAAAGGACATTCTGGAACAGCTGCTTGGACAAAATACACTTGACCTTAAATAACACCAGGCCTCAGTGGAAACTGCAGCATTTGAAAATCTACAGGCAGCACAGTGATTAGGACCGCTTGGGTACAGATTCCCTGATCACCCAGTTCAATCGCCCCTGAAGTGTCTCAGTATTCTATAAAGTAACCCTGCTTTGGTTTAGCCCCCCTCTCTGCCCCCTCTCATTCCTGCCATTCAATGGTTTGGTTCCCTCAGGCGGTCAAAACAAGATAGACTTTGTCTGCTTTGGTCTTGCCGACTCCTTTGACTGGAATCCGTGCAGATGGGTGCATGTGTAAACTGCACGTGGGAGGGGAGAAACGCTTGATGTCTAGACACTGCCACTGACTACAATTTCAGGCTCCTTGGCAGCAAGTACGTGTTCTTCCTCCCCTAAAATCTCCCGAGCACGCAGATAGGACAGCTGGGGCTGAAATGGGCTAGTAAATACTTTAGATGGGATGAACGGTAAACAGGTCTCTCAGGATAGCACACCAGTTTGCCTCTCCCTCAGTGCTGACACTGACAAGACTCACACCCTAGGGGTGTAGGAATCCTGCACGCTCCTTTGCAGTCACCACAATGATGACATCTGCACTCTCAGGCTGCAATTCCACATCAATTGGCTAACATAACTGTTGCAGGATCAAAGACTGGATCACCCTTTGAAAAAATAAAGGGAACAGATACTCTGCCACACCTGAGGAGGTGCAGACCTTGATTTCCCACAAGGAGGTACACCACTGAACACACATGGCAAGGGGCAGCTCTTCTGTGTAAATACTGAGAAACATTCTTTCTGCATGGTCCCTACGCAGCTCCAAAGACCCCATAGTCCTAGCAGGAATGAGCCATTGCTAAAAACTCTGCTACAAGCCAAAAAGCCATTGTCAATATATTCCACCATATTCCCGTGCAAGGCACCAGAGCTTTCCATATCTGAAATCTTCCCTGAAACATCTGGAGATGTTCTTACACTCACCAATGTCAAGGACTCTCTGTTTAGCTGTGTGCTGCCGGGAATGCCAGTACTTCCAATATTTCAGCTGTTCATCTCTGTTTTTATCCTCACTGAAAACAACCATGACCACACTCTATGAAAAACAACACCAAAATAATTAATAGTCAGGAACACAAAAATTAAAATCTCCATATGCCTCTAATTCTGATCCAGCCACTCTCACAGTACTTTGGTTGTAGAAGATTGGGTTTTAATCAGTCCAGTACTACAGTGTACTTAAAGACTCAGGACAAAAGAAATGTAGCTGTAAAATAATGCAAGGCCCAGAATTATGTTATTGACAGTCCAAATAAAAATTAATCATATTCTTAGTTTTAAAAAGTCACCTTCACTGGCTAAAGGCAAGATATTTTCAATTTAGTATACATAAATACACTTTTTGGGAGCAGGACTCTTGTATATATATGTGTTTAATGACAAATTCAGTGTAACTATTTACTGATTTTTGCTGAGGTTTTCAATTCACGTTCTGAATTCACTTTGTTAAATTGTGATTCAAAGGAAACAGATTGAATTTTTATGCAATATTTTACACAAGCAATATAGGCTTTTTGAATAAGCCCTGCTGTAGGCAAGCAAAACAATACAAAACAAAGGAAGAATGATCATACAGTTAAAATCAAGTGAAAATAAACCAGAGAAAAAACCCTTCACTTTTAAATATTCTGTTTGATTTTCACCCTGAGACACTAAGCACAAAAAAATCACTATCAAGCTGCTTTATAAGCCAAGGAGGTAGATTACAATTGATTCATCATCTGCGACCCTCCACAAACCACCACCACAATCCTTCATGCACTCTCTGACCTTCTGCATTCCACCTATAAAAGGTGAACACCATCACCACATCTTCCTCTCCATGGACACGAGGCAGTACACACCGTGGAGGAGTCCTGGGTTGTGCCTGTATATACTGGGTGGGCACCAGGTGTGTGTGGCTGGCCAGCTGATGCACTAACCACAACTGGTCGTGCAGACTAGCTTTTCCACCAAGGACACCACTAATGTTTTTATGAACCACTTACAGGGAACTTGTAGAAGTTTAATACCTTCAAAACCTCTTGCCCTTCTGTTAGCTTTGGATGGAATTGGCAATAAATTCAACAGTCACTTGAGGAGAGCCCTGACAAACAGAACATGATTGTGAAAGTTGCACACAGTTTCACAATCTTCTGTCAACTACATCCTCCAGAAGGATGCAATCTCACCTCTCCTTTATAATTTCCACCCTTCTGCTTCCACGGCTTCAAAACTCATGTGGCAGTGCACTGAACCAGGTACATGAGGACTGGTTTTCAGTCAGACCAGTGACCTCCTGACTCCTGTTTCAGCTCTACAAGTGCTAGAGCTGGAACCACAAAATGGGAAGGAATGGGTGGCAGGGAAAGAAATTGTTCAGCAACAGAGATGTCTTACTTTGGATTCAGCCAACAGCTTAACATCCTAAGGAAACCAGGCTAAAAATTAACTGCTAATTCAGGTTTCCAAATCATTGCCTCTGTTTAGGAAGAGTCTCTCTAAACTTCACGTATGATAGAAACATATAGGTTGCTGTCTGCTTCACTGCTCACACTGACTTTCATTGGTTCCTTTGACTAAAGTCACAACATTTTTAGAGAGCTTCATGTATTTGGATGGAAACATTTTTGCAGCCTCATACATATGCAGCACTGCCAGCTTCAGGGTAAAATTTACAGGGCTCATTGCTCATTCCAAGGTTACTGGGTTAGGATTTATGAACTCAAAAACATTACCAAGGAAATCAGGAGGCCCATTCACCAGGTAGATGTTGCTGAATACACAAGCTACAGTTCTACGCACAGAATCTAAGATGCAAACAATTCATTTTGTTACACTTCTGGGTGAATGTCAAGTGAAATCTCACACTTATGAAATGAAAATTATTTAAAATTTATGTCACAAAGGATGGATTCAACTCTTCATGTTTTCTCTGAAATGCACTGGAAAGCAGCTGATTAAATGCTCCAGCGAGAAAAAAATTAAATTAAAAGCCAATCAACCACAACCATATCTATCTGCAGAGCTACATTCCCACCTAGGAAAGAAATGGGACTATACCCTGACTTTGCTGATGGGATGTCGGAAGCATTTGTTGTCACCCGTCTCACTCAGGGTGATGGCGTAGAACTGTCCCTTGTTCAAGTAGGTCATGGGTCCTTCCCCTTGCTTTTGACGCAGAGACTTGGTAGCTTCTAGTGTATACTGAAAAGTGCTGCTGAAAAGACAAGGAGAGAAACACCCACAAAATCCATATCACTTTCCCCTTTTCTCTTTTATTATGTAATTATTGCATTGAATAAAGCATAAGACGCTAATAACAAAATTCCAGGAAACTGGCACATGGCAATTTAAAATTGCAATTTTCTTTTTTTGACTTCATCAGATCCCGCAGTCAAGCGTAAAACTATCTGGACTGTAAGTTTATTGGATCAAAGGCTAGATCTGTACTATCTCTGAAAGGAACCATTATGAATTATGAGACTGTGTACCTCACAATGAGAGTGTCAATTACCAAGAGGGGATTCAGTATGATTTGCAGGAAATCATCATCTCCACAGACATTTAAACTTAGAAGAAAGTTGCAGAAAGAGAAATAAATAGGTTTTTTAAAAACCCAACCAGAATAAAACATGTTACAAAAGATGGACACAGAGAATAGAAAGTCCAGCTGCTACTTTCAGCACAGTTCAAACAAGGAATACAAAGAGAATGGACAGTAAGTTCATTTGTTTACATGCAAATCAAGGTTTTTATAAGCTTTCTTTTCAAAATTAGCCACACTGAATGAAGTGCCTACATTTAGCTTTATCTTCAATCAAGTAACCTCCCTTTAGAAAAATGTCAGGGAAAAACAGTTAGCTCTTGTGTTGAAATTTTAGATCTTAAAAAGACCTTCCTTCACAGAAGAACTTTCCAACCTCAAAGCACTTCTCAAACCATGAAAAGTTAAGGCTCCATTAACTAGTGAACTGTTAGCTGGAAACAATTCTCACTCAGCCTCTTCAGCCACCACCTCCAATAATGGGCTTGAACAATAATCCATAAAAATTATGCCTGCAGCTCCTCACATTCTCTTACATTAAAATAATGTTGATTTTGTAAAAAAAAAAAAAAAATATAAAATTTCAAACTGCACAGGAACCTAAATGCAAAGTCCTCCTGAACTGAAGATACAGTGGAAGCATTTTCACAAAGGTTCTAACTCAACAAAGTATTTAAGCAGTGCCAGAGCAGAATCAACAGGAGGAATACGTTAGTCCAAAACAACAGTGTATCCCTAAGTTTCTAATTCAAGCAAATACTCTAGATCATCATAGTACTGCCATAGCAATATAGAAATAAAGGGAAAACAAAAGATATTTTAACTATCCAATGGGAAAAATAACCACAACAAAACACGTAACTAATAATTACATTTAAATCTCCACTCAAAGAGAAGGTAGGAAAAAACCAACAGATCCAGTCTTTCCATCCAAAAGGAGCTTCAGACAGCTTAGTATCAATTATTCAGTTTAGTTGCAATCATTCAATCAAATGAAGACAACTTATTATTCCTTCTCAGCTTATAAATTGAAATCCAGTCATTTTTCTAGTTGCTTAAAAGTTACAAGTCAAAGCAAAACTAAGGTAATAAGCAAACACTCATCTATACCTACCCAACCCAGCGATGGCAGCACTGGTGCTTCCACACAAGGCAGCTGCTGCCACCATGAAGGCTCTTGCACACAGCGGGAAGGCAGCACAAAGGCACTGCTGTCCCCTCTGCTGTGGTGTGTGCTGGCACAGGCCCCTGTCCTGTGTGCAAGGGGAACAGAGGCACTGCCAACACCGGCAAGTGTGGACCCGTCTGAGTGGATTAGAGCTATACCACCAGTGCTGCAGAACCAGCATCTATCCTGCTGCACCACTTGTCCTACAGATGGACCACCCATTAGAGGTAGGGGCACAGCCTTGATTTAGCATCACACGTAGGGACTGCAGATTTTATGTTCAAGACCACTTCATGACACACATCAAAGCACACTGAATGTCCTGGGAGATGTGCCTCAAAACCTCACACCAGACAGAAGAACTAACGGGGATATGTGCTGAGAAGGGCTTAGAATGATCAAAGTCAGACACACACAATGTCTTAACAGAACTGCCTACAGTCTGCCACGGGCTGGTCTTCTGTTCCTTGGCATTCTGCGTGTTTCAGTCAAAAAATGTAAATCCCAGACACACTGCACTTGGCCAATTTTGGAGCCTCTCTGTAGTACCATTTCAGCTTTCTCTTCTTGTTTCCAGTTGGCAAGCAAACCATGTCCTATAGCAGGAGAATTACTCTCACTCTTAAAGCTTATTGCAGTGACTCAATTACTATAATACTATTATGAACCTCACCATGAGTCTCAACTAAACCCCTGTGTAGTCACAAAGAGACGTGCTAGCAAGCTTTCAGTTACTTGCATATTCACCACTTCTTTTTTCAATCTGAAATTCTCATTTCTGAGCCTTCCACTTCCAGGTAAACTACATACATCTTTCCTGGGAGTTTTCTTAATGTGCATTCAGAGGTTTCATTCTTAATGTAACCTGGGCCGTAGCATGAAAGACCTAAATGTGTGAGAATTGTTAACAATACCAATGCTTCAGGATTCAATTTTACAGATATTCAGTATAGTGAGTGAGCAGCCTTTGCTAAATATCAGCTTCATATCTTTTGTCTATATAATGACTCCGTTCTGAGCTCACTGCAGTTAATGATTGTTTTAACATTCTTCAGAAAAAATATCAAGCTGTAAGGAACCTTCAGCACAGTCAGAGCCATATGCCTAATCCACGAAAACTACGCAGGCATGTTCCTGATTCTAAAGTGAGAGTAATCTCTCAGATATAAACAGAACCATTCACAAGTATGAAATAAAGCATCAGTTTAAAATCTTCAGTGATTACAGTCTTTCCTAGATAAAGGGACCCTGCAGTGTTTGCCCATGCTACATGCACATTCTTCTGTGCTTAGGCAGAACAGTATTCTTTTCAAACTTTAATTTTTGAAGCTTTTTCTTGAAGCTTTTCAACTGTCCTGGACATTTGACTTGTGCATTCTGCCATCCTGAAAAGATTTTTCATGATCTGGTTGTCAAAGCTATACTCTTTTACCTGGGGAACCAACTTCTCAACAGCTTTCATCTTGCATATCTTGGGCGGGGGAGCTTCAGAGGAATTACGAGTTTAAAGCAATGCTGAGGGAAGGCAACAGATGAAGATATAAACTGGCCAGATCCAAGAGCTAACATGAGCCGGAGAGTACCGGGAGAATGATGCTTGGCAGCATCAAGGGAGCCCTGCAGGTACCCCAGGGGGAAGAAAGGAAGGGTGGGAAGTGGACACAGGCAGCTGCTCCTCAATACATTCCTGCCTGATGCCAGTCAACACGCTGCAAAGCTTATGCCATACCTTGTTTGTTCATAAATATATTCTTCAGCCCCCACTGACACACTCCGATACTTCTGAAAAATAAGACCAATTAAATACTGTTTGATAAAATCAAAATGCAAATACCAACAAAAGTGCAGCTATGTTTATTTAAAGATAACTCAGAAGAAACATCAACCATTTAAAACTCAAAATACCTAAAAACTGGAGTGGATATTAATAAGCTAGTCACATTTTATATGAAGGTTAGAGATTGACATTGTAAAAAACATACAATTTACTTACCTAACCTCAAAGAATTTGTTTATACTATAAAGAATGAACAAACTAAGCACAGCTAAACAAAAATAAAAATTAAAGAGATGAGAACAGCATATTTGTAATTGTTAAAACTGTAACCAAAGAACACAGCAAGCAATTGACCAGTGTCCACTACCACAGGGATCTATAAAAACTCATCACTCCTTCAGTACAACACAACTAAGTCACTTCATAAATGCTTTGAAACCATTCCTAAATTTGTCTTTATAATGTGTTTGAAAACTGAGTAAGTATTAGAACAAATCCAAATCCAGTCATTCTCACCAGTACTTAGGAAATACTTTGCAAGCACTTATGAAAACTAGTAAGAACAACTGCCTTCCCACTTCTAAACACTAACTTTGCCTAAGTTTCTTTCAGTATGTTTTGACATTTTACCTTATGGTTTCCCCACACCTGCTCCATCCAGCTGCGCCTACACAACAGTGGCTGGAGGAGCAGTCAGAGCACAGCCAGGCTAAGCACATCCTGGGGTTTGGGCAGCTGAGAAAAACAAAGGGACAGGCTCAGTGCTGAGTGAGGCTGCAGCAGGGTGGCAAAGCTCTGACTGCTCCCATGCCACATGCATGTGAACACTTGGGGCTAGAAGGCCACCAAAACAGTGGCACACATCTCCTCTAACAACTATGGCAGGGGGCATAAAGTTAATTGTCCAGTGTTCCTTGTAGAATTAATAGGGGAAGGGAAGGTGGAGAGGAGTGCACTTAGAAAACCACTCCACCCACTTTTGGCAAGCAGATTTGAACTGATTCTGTCTCCACAGACTGCACAGAAATCCTAGATGGCAAGTACTGCACCCCATTATTAACCAATCATTTTAAAAACATGTAACAATATATTACAAAAACATGTAACAAAGTTACTATAACACAGAATTTGGGATGCAAAGCCAACGTATAGATGTAAAGTTCCTTTTTACGTCCAAATTTAACAAGTTTGCATGTTTGACAGCTCTCTGCACAGGGCAGATGGACTGTTTGGGAACCACTCAGCAGCATATCCCAGAACAAACCAATAGAATGGAATCACTCTGCTACAGCACTCCAGGGAAAGCCGTGAGTATGGCAGCATAAGAACCATTTACCAGTGACATAAAAACTGCCAAACTAATATTACTTGGTAATGCAGAGCAGTGTTTCTAATCCAAGGTTTGATCCTACTGATTTTACAATGGGAAGCTAGATTTCTTCATTATTTATTCATTTAGTTGACCTGCATGTGTTCTATATCTGAAAACGGATTTCACCTCCAGACATCCTGGATCTATGTCGCTCATGGAGACAATGTATTTTTCTATAATACACAAACACACAGTAAATTTCTCATATACTAAATCAGGACAGTTCAGCCTTAATGTAGCTTGCCTTGTACTTTTGTTATGTTTACAATTTTGTAGAGTTGGGAGGAGAAAAACCCTAGGGGAGCTTTACCATCTAATATCTCTAATTATTTTCAGAGGTACTGTCAGCTTTAAATTGTCTTTACCTTTCTACAATTCCAGCTTGTTTGCCTTATTCTGCAGCAGGCAAAAGCAGCCAGAGGGTACTCACCATACTTTACCTGACTGTAAAATTACTTTGACTGTAGCATAACTGTAAAATAGTTAGAAGGAGCTCTCCTTGCCTTTTTTTCTCCTCGTTCCTGTACATACACACGCAGTTGTTCCTTGTCTGTTAAATTCTCTGTTCCCCTCTATTAGTCTAATTTTGCTACTTTTTCTCACTTGCTTGTGTTGCAGAATAGAGCTTAGTGCAATAAACAGCTTCTGAATAAATTGCTTGGGCTTATCCAGCAGCAGAGGCTGTTGCTACTCATTTGCATTTTCAAAAGGACGTCTAGAATTTCCCTGTTACAAAGTAGCTATTTCTTACTATTCTGAAGGCAGATCTTGTTAATGGTAAACAAATCTTCTTTCAGAATAACAACTGTCTTCTACTTGACACAATATCCCCAAAGACAAAAAAAAAAATCAGTATTTATTATTCTCAGAATTTTCAATAACATCTTTAAAATTGTCTTCTGAAATGCCTCATGATGCTCCCCTTTAATCAGAGCACAGACTGATGGAAACACAGCAAGGAGTAGAAATTAATTTGTTGAAACAAGCATCACTATTCTTCTAATGGCTCTTGTGGACAGTTCAAATCTCCTTATCTTGTTTACAAGCTCAAATATTCTTATCTTGTTTACAGCTTTTTATTGCATTCTTAGATGCTAATTTGAGGTGAAAAACTTACTTCTGTTCCTCCATCTTTGAAGGTGTCACTGTAGGTGCTGTCAGGAGTACTGCGCTGATCATCTTTAAGATAATTTGTGTGGGGAGCAATGTTGGACACTTCATATGGTTCAAAGATAACACCTCGGTGCTCCTCATTTTCTCCTCTTGCATAGTGTGTTTGTGGGGTCATAAAAACAGGGGTGAATTCTTCTGCTTTAACCACAGTCACTGCAGACCCTGTGATGGGTGTTGAGCTCCCAGACACATTTGTGTTGTATTCCCTTTTGGATGACTCCAAAGGATCCTGGTTCAAGGAAAGGTTAACTGGCACTGTCTTCAGGACTTGCACACGGTTCTCTCCCCCACTTAAGTTATTCTGAGCTTCTGTGGTATTAAGACAATTTCTGTGAGACAAAACCAAAAAATATTATGAACTGTCCTGATAGAGGAAATCCTTTTAAATAACTTAATGGTCTTAGATGTCAAGGAAGAAGATTGTTCAATTCTGATAAGCCACTGCCATAAGAAGTAATACATTAACAAATACTAGGCAAAAGAAATTGTGAGGCAAGCAGAGAGGTGCAGAGCTCTTTAACATCTTTAACAAATGGGGAAAGATAATACATTTGATTTTATTTGTTACAATAAATTCTGGGTATGTAGCTTATAATTTGGATGGAAAATCAATCCAGCAGTACAACAGCCTTTAGACACAAAATAAGAATAAGGCAGGGCATGGATTACTCACAGTAGATATCTTGCACATGAAATAGGCAGAATATCAACAGCAAAATTCATATGCAGATGGCATGCTCTTTCAGACTGTTAACAGGCCACTACTGTTTGCTTAACTCTGGTAGCAACGCTGCTCTAAAAGAGCAAGCCCAGGAATTCCATTGTAGCAGAGTAGATCAGTAACTATAGTGGCTGTAAGGTAACCTCAGCAGCATTCCCACATCTACCCACAGCTGCTGTTGAAAGCAATCTGATAGTAGTTGCACTGACACAAAATTGTTAACTCATAGAATTTTAGTAGGTGTAACATTGTTTTGTTTTCAACCCGGGAGAAATGCTCTGACACTACCCAGCGCCCAGTTCCTCTCTCTTGGCTTTCCACTGAAGCCAGATTTGTCAATTACACTCAATTTAGGAACCAAACATCAGGAATTTCTCTGGTGTTCGTAGAAGAAAAACTGTCCAAAAAACATTTCATAGCCTATTTTGAAACAATAAATTTACACTATTGCCTATTGAAACAATCACCTTACCAACAGCTAGTGGAGACCATCTAAGGCTGTCACAAATTAGCTACATTGAAACAAACCTTGCATAGCTCATCTCTGTCATAATTTTATATGGAGATACCTTCCAGTATGAAAAACTCCTTTGTTTCTACAAAAATATACACTCTTTCTTTCCTGCAGCTCTTAATAGTTGGAGGCAGCTTCCTTTGACTCAAGTAACTTTTAGCCTACAGAGAAGAGCTGAAATCTGAGAGGAGAAAAACATTCTAGGCAAATGACTTTAAGAGTTACTTTATTTGCTGGGCAGTTCCTAAATTATGTTAAATAGGACTCTATAAATGAGATTACTGAGGCCAAGCTACTCACTTTTTGCCCTACAACAAGAAAATAAAGAAAAACAGCCAAGTCAACAACTGTCAAGATAATCTGATTTTACTAATCTCAGCAGCAGCAGCAAAACACCACCAAACACAAACAAGGAGTGAAACTCTCAGCTACCTCCCAAACTGCATGTTTGAGAATACTATCCATTTTTTTCTAATCAATTGAAAGTAAAAAGGAGTAAAATGTGCTTCCCAAAACAGCCTTCATTCTTTTAACTTTTGAAAGAAATCCATAAACCCCTGAGGCTCTCACAGTTCACAACTGATCAACACTTTCAGTAGCTGGGTGTATGATTTTGAATAATACTGTACCTTTTATCTTGGTCTTCTTGATTATCACTCACTTTGTTAACAGACAACAGCCTTTTATCTCTGGGAACCTGAGAACAACACCGGGCATGGGGTCAGGTAAATGCAACTGTCAGGCATTTGCAGCTTCAGACTGCTCTACTGCAACAGCTAGAAAAATGTAACTCTATCAGTGTTGTCTAGTTCACAGATGCCAGGAGCTGTTTTTCTTTGGGAGACTGACTGTGAACAGAAAGAAAATTTCCAAAGACAAAAAACATAGGAATTGTTTTCTTTTCCAGTTCTTCAGCACACCAGTTAGGAGCAAAGTGCTCTTCTTTATGCCCTATCTTTTGAATATCAAGCTAGGCCAAGCTATCTCAAAATCAAATCTCATATTATTCCAAAAACACACACACACTCTCCACTGAATAAAACAAGATGAGAAGGAAGATACCATGCTTTGATGAGCTCTGCACTGAGACCATTTCAGCTCAGACAGAAAAGGCTTTTCAATTAAACCCTAAGCACCAGGTAAGTCCTCCTGTTAGAGAGAAGCCTGGAGAGTGCAGGATTCACACTTTGAAAAAGTTTGTGGATCTTTCCCTTTCTTAGTATGGGGACAGGTCAGGGCATGCTGGTATGTCATCAGAAACACTTACTTCTGCTTTGCTGATTGCATCAATAGCTATCAGAAGTAAAAACCCAGTCAAATCTGGCCCCTTGACAGACTCAGAATTGACACAAAGTGACTTTAAAGATTTGTATTCCTACACACCAGTGTCCTGACACCAGCACAGATATGAAATCACCAAGTGAAAAGTTGCTGCCATGACCATATTTTTCTTTTCTTGCTGAGCCATTAATTTGGGAGCTCAAACTTCTAATCTATCTTTTGCACAAGACATATCCACTCCATCCCAGCAATTAACTCAGTATTAAAGAGCAAGAATAGACTAAGAATGGGCTAAAGCCATGCTTTTTACTTTTAAATATTTTAAAGAAACATTGGAAAAATATCTGACTTTAGAGGAAAAACAGTATTACAGTGCACTCCAGTAGCCAATGATAACATCAACAATAACTGCAAGACAGCAGCACAGTCAAGAGTTCTATCCAGAGCCACTCTTTCTTTTAGGGACATCCCCTTTCCCTATTAAGCATCCTGCTGGTTAAAAAATTTCTTTCATTTATTTTTTGAACTGGGATAAAAGCCACAGTTTACATATGCTGATTCCCCTTTTAAGATTATATATTTTTCTCTGAATGATGTTCTATGTTTAGGTAAATATCACTACAAGGAAAAGAAAAGTTAAAAAAAAACCAAAACCCAAACCGTTAAATTTAAATCATTCCTATTGACTGGACAAAGTAATTAAAAAATATTATCCAGCATGTCAGAATGAAGGAGCCAGATTATAAATAGGGACAATTCAAGAGTCTCGTGCATTGGAAGTCCTCTACACTTCCCCATTAGAGCATAGAGGTTAAGTTTTAAGTTTGTGTTTGGGAGTATCAAAAAGAGTTATCATTTTATCCCTATCTAAGACAAAAATAGGTATCACTGAATGCTGGAAATGGTTTTGAGATGTTAATCCCACCTTCTTCCATCTGAACCCCAAGTCTTTAGCAACTGCCTGGAAAAAGGAGCAGATATGTCTTTTAGAACATGGTTTTGAGAAGGAAAAGGGCTATTTTCTGGTTTTGTTATTAAAATCCATCAGATTAATGAACTGCTACATACAAAGGTATTACTAAGACAGAAGCCAATACTCCAGATACCCATACACATCCTGAATTTTATGAATCTGTATTAATTTCACAGACTCTGGCACTGTGGTAACTATGTCAAGCAGAGAAAAGGACCTTTTTTTCTTTCTCACTGGGAACAGTTTTCTCTACTGACAACAACACACAAAAGCAAGGAATACAATCAGCAAAACAATCAAAACAATATTTAACCGTAAAGTCAGTATATGGCATCTTCCCTACAACCCCTTCTCCTGAACACTCAATTAATGCAAAGAGATTAAAAAGAGGAGTCCATTCATTAAAAGCATTTATGCTAATAAATACTAAAAGCACAGGTTTTTAATTCCCATTCCTGTTACTGCTTCATTAATTACAAGGGGACCTGGCATTGCTATGCTGGCTTTCACAGAAATCATCTGTCCAAGGCAGCCATAGCTGACTTCAGGGGAATGGAGATTGTTCATTTCACTATTTCATACTGTTGTGCTTGGGAGACAACACTGATTCTGTAGGCAGAGTACCAAGGGGTCAGCATGGGTTTCAGAATGACATTTTTGCATTACACAGAGATGCATTCTCTAGGACTCTCCTCTGATGTCATCAAAAATCTCAAACATAGCTTTACTTAAACACTATGAAATATATATATTAAAAAAAAAAAAGTTACCAAAATAGTAAGTAAAACCCTGGGTTTAGAACATGACAAACTGAAACTACATCAGTGTTTTTCCTGTAAATTGACTTAGATCTCTGGCTTTGTGTCCAGCTTCATTTCTGTCCTGCAAACCGCCAGTGCAAGGGCTGGCCCTCGCTGTATGTTTGTATACAGCCTACTGCAATCATTATACAAACAAAAATAACATGGGAAATTGTCAGATGAGAGATACCCCAGTTAAAGAGCAAACTAAAACATGTGTGGAATGAACCAGAAAAGCAGACAAATGTACAGATGGACAAGGCCTCCCCTTTTACACTTCAGTATTTCAAGTATCATCCAATGTTCTTGCAAAGGAAGAACACTATGCTCAAAAAGAAAAAAAAAAACATGGTATAAAATTTAATATGGGAATTCTGAGATTGTTTTTTTCTCTCCAGAATTAAATACATCAAAACTCTTTCAGACAGGCTTCCTATAACAGAATGGGTGCATGATGGACACATTAGAGAGAAAACAAGATGCAGTGACTTCTGTCTTTGAAAACTGGCTCTTTTGATGCCTCATGAGTGGTCCCTGCTAGTGCAGCAGGGAGGGATAATGACAGAATTACCTACTTTATAATAGTCATACAATAGGCCAAGAGCAGCAGCACTGTCCTCATCACCATTTATGCTCATCATAGCCTTGGTAGCTGCTGTTAGGGGATTCTCCAAATACGACTTCCAGGCTTCATCTTCACTGGTGTAGGCTCGTCTGGTGTTGAATGAAGTGTCATTGGGCACTAAGGCCACAAGTCGCTTGTTACTGCATAGACAGGAAGAATAAAATTGTGATCCAGAAGGGACTACTTTATTCACAAGGCATGGTAAAGAACATCAAATAGCTAAATTAAAGTTATATGATTACATCAAGCAAGCATCTCTGGGTTACACTTGGTGACATAAATATTTATCAGTATTAGCTATCTTCAGTTCTTAAGAAAAATTCAAATGCGTGCAGATCTTGTGATAATAATTCAAATGTATTTTAACTAATACACAGACAGAGCTACAAAAATTTTTAAACTATTTGGAAAAAAAATGAAGCAACAATATAAGAGTATTTTACCCCAGTATTCTTGCTATGTGTACACTTGATTAGGGAAAAAAATCCAACATTTAACTGACATAAGAAGACATGAATGAAAAACAAGAAAAAGCATCTAATACTAATCTAGGGTTCACCTAAACAGAGTATAGTTCAGTATTTATTAAGTAGGTACACCTTAAAATTAAGCTATTCTGTGCTTTTAGAATGCAATTTGTCAGTAATCTCAGAGAAGTTTTTTGTAACAGGTCACGAGCAATAGGTCCAGTGGATGGAACAGAAGTAAACATATTTGGTCTCAATGCACACTTTATCACTCACCACATCTAATTATAAACCCATGGTAACACACACAAGACCATCAGTGAGTGGCATTTGCAGCCAGAGCAGTTTCCTCCAGCCTGAGAGTGGTACAAACTGACCAGTGCCCGTGTACACTGCATAAGAAGCTGCTGCACAACAGCTACGGCTGAAATTTCCAGTATAATGGAAATATAAATGAAGATAATAGCACTTGCTTTTGCAAACTGTTCAATAAATTTATTGATAAAAGAACTGCATTGAAAAAAAAAAGGTTGCAGGCCTATTACATAAGACAGTAGGCAAACAGATTAGGCAAGGGAAATAGTGGAGTGAGGAGTGTGCTGCTTCATGGGTGTTACAAGAGCACTGTCAAGAATTGTGGCTCAACTTAGAATTATGACGAAACTTTTAACACATTACAACTTACAAATGTGAAAGTTGCAGAGATGGTAGTATAACTAAATATACCAACTTAACTGTTAAAACTAGTAGTTACTCCTGGTGACCTTCATAAAACACCTTTTGCGATCTTCCACATAAAAGCCAGTTTAGTAGTCAGCCTCCTCTTTCTGTTCTGCCTTACCTGCACCAGTGCCAGCTCCACAGATCTAACCCAACCAACTGCTGCTGTTGCACAGAGAGTGGCATTTAAACTGTGCAAACAAGACTTTTATTTGTTTTCCGAAATAGGATTTGATAAAAGCACAACTGAACCCACAGAGTAAATGCTCTCAGATGCTGGGAACATGCCTTGCCTGGCTCCCAAGCTGCAGTGACCAGCAGAAGGCTGGGGTATCACCAGAACTGTGCTGCAAGCCCAACCTGCAAAGTGCGTGCTCCAGTGCTTAAGGAAGAAGAGGGGGATGGTGGAGATTATAATCTCTATGGTACAGAGCACTGTTTACAAGTTTCTTTATTTAATGAAAAACAAAATAATCCATCTTGTACACAGAGCACAGTTTTATGACCTCTGTGGGGGAAGAGAGCATTTCATAGCTTCATATCAGAAAATACAGCCAATTACAGTACCGGTTCTATTTTCCTTTCATATAAAGTAACTGGATTTCGGAAACTACCTTTTTGTTTGCTTTTTTTGTTTTTGACAACACTTCCTCCTGGCCTTTTGCTGAAGATTTTTGTCCCTCTTGTTTTCACATATATGTTTGTGTTGTTACAGGTTTGATTCAGCAAGTGTAGCTGAGCATAAATGAAGAGCCTAAGGAAATACAGAGGCACCTGCTAGGTCTGCTGCCTTTTCAATCCCTTATTGTTAGCAACTCAAATCAGATTTGCAACAGCCCTGCTGTTTGTGCCAGAGGTAGCTGAGGGCCTGTTTCCACTCTGGAGTAGTCAATTCTCACTGGCTCAGAGGCAATTATTCGAAGCAAGGATTCTCCTTTCCTCAACAAAGCTCCCCTTCAGCTAAATCTGGGCTGTTTCACCGCATGGGCAGCTGCCCATTGCAGCGCACAAAATCACGCTCACTCTTCCTCCTGTAGCAATCTTCCCTTAAAATCAATAACTGCCTTTTGTTCTCAGAGCACTCACACCATGCAACAGTCATAACTGATTTATGAGCATTACAGTCAGACAACAAGATACCTTTAAAACACACCTTTTATGACTTGGGCTGTGCTTGTCTGTAAAAACGCTGGAGGGGAGGAGTCAATCTCTGTTGCTCTAACTTAGTCAAGTTGATCTTAGAGCAATGACCAGAGTGCCCGTCTCTCAGAGGTGCATATCTGATTGTCAGGGGAGAAGCCAAAGCAAAGGGGATAAATGCTCTAGAAACAACAACTCAGTAAGTAAGCAGTGGGGATGGTTGGAATGGCACAGGTGCACAGACCTAGAGCCTTCCCAACATCTTTCCAGAACATTTTTTTCTAAAACTCAGGTTTTCGCATTTGACAACGAAGTATCTGTCTCCTCTGCTTTGAGAGATGGTCTGCAGCATAATCAACTGCCACACTCATTGTGTTTACTCTGCAAACAGACTGAAACAATAGCACTAAGAAAAATAAAAAACTTCCTCATCACCCCTATCCCTGTAATCAGCTCTGTGGGAGGTTAATGGTCAGAGCTAATTATCATGACTTAACATAGTCAATAATTTCAAAGATTACAGCCAAAGTAGTCAGCCAAAACAATTGGGCTCACTTAAAGGAAACTTCTCTATTAAATAAGGCTGTTTGGATGAGAGGGAGAGTTTCTCTGAAGAAATGAGACTTGTGCATGCACACACATTCCCCTTCCTTCTTGCAGAACTGCTGAACCTCCTTGGACGATTTCAGCTAAATGTGACAGAGGGTAGCAGAGTCCTCCATAACCAGAGGAGATAAATACACTGTATTTTAATATACACCAAGAAACCCCAACATCCTAAGTGAGGTTCCACACAGACAAGCTCCTCGGTCTTGTCATACTTCCATGCCAGGGCAGCCCCAGCTGTTCCAGCTGTGCAACTGATGTCAGCTGGCAGCTGCCTGGGAGGGAAGTGACTCTGGTGGTACCTGGATTGTGTGGAGGACAAAGCGTGACACCTACAAGTAACAGCAATCCCACGACAGAGCTGCCCTGACCATCCCAGCTGAAAGAAAAGCCTAATTTGGAGCCTGCAATTAGCAGATCCATAGATCTATGAATCTTATCAAAAGCTGAAAATCCATCAGTGACCACATCCACCAAGAACCACACACTTAAGGAAGAAAAGATAGGCCAAGATTGCAAGACTCCTACTCAGCCTGACCAGCAACACCAGCAAATACCCGCTGTAGCTCCAGTCACAACTAAAAACCTGCTAAAGAGCAGAGAACACGAGCAACCCCTGCTGTGCCCATTCCTCACCCGGGCCAGCCCACCACCCCTCTATCTGGGAGTCAGGATGTGTGCTAACAAGAACACAGCTGCGCGGGACACACTTGCACAAGCTGAAAGAACATCCTCGTTTTATCGTGGAGGAAGAGATGAAGAATTAGGATACTTTGTATCTAAAAAGTAAATGTTTCCTTTCAAGCTACCACGTGAGCTCCTCATGAATGCAAAATGCTTCCACTGTATTATGTCAAACAGTAGTAAGTGTGGAAGAATGAAAGGTCTTTTCTGGGCAATGGTCTAGCTAGGAACCAGATTGCTCTGGCAGGGGAGCATTTATGTCAAAACTAAAACTTCAGACGGCCTTTATTTTGCAAAATCTTTTTTTTTTTTTTTTCTCTCCACTGCTTAGTAGAGATTTTTCTGTTCATACAAACCAATTGGAGAGGTACATTGTACTTAACATCAATAATGCTAAATGGAAAAGGCCAGCCTTTCAAGCTCTTCCTCAGATTAAAGATAATGAACATACAAGAGCCAGCCCTTGGGGCTACAAAATCCTACTACAGGCAAATTCTCACCCAACTTCATGCAATTTTCGAATTAGCTCACAATGAATCAGAACTGCCCATTAACACACTCATGAACAGTCGTAAAAGGCTTGGTGATCAGAGCTTCCTTTTTATTCAGAAACAAGGTGTCCTGCCTGCCAGTCTCTCAAGTCCAATTTTGATGCTCAAGAGCTTTCTTTTTAATTTGGAAAGCTCAAGCAGCACTCAACTTCTCAGCTGTATCTGCCACTGAACATAAAGCAGACTGAGCCATGCTGCATCAAGTACATCTGCATCCTGCTGCATCATATGCTCAGCATTACATCCTGATCCAGTTGGAACTAGTGGGAAAGAAAGCCTCTTCCTACCTGCCCCATATCTTTTGCCTTGCTCAGGAAATTCAACCCTGAAATCCAAAGCAGATTGTGTAAACTGCCAAGGTGGGCACCCAGCCCAGGCATTTCCATTTTTTAACTGTGGGGTGTTGTTTTGTTTGGGTTTTTGGTTTGTTTGGGGTTTTTTGGGTTTTTTGGTTTTTTTGGTTTTTTTTTTTTTTTTTTGACATTGCATTTGTTTTTTAAAAAACAGCTGCAATCAAGATGTTCCATGAATATACCTGCAGACTTCTTCACCCTGTGACAATGCAGGAAGACTTTCCCCTCCCTGCAAAGGCTAGATGCCAGAAGGGAACACACAAGTAATGTGTGTGAGGCAGGAGAATGAACAGGAGAGGTCCCAATTCCCAGGTTTCAACCCAGGCCTGAGCCTGCTCATTCTTACACAGGTGAGATAAAAGAGCACCAGGCCCTTCTGCACACATCGTCTGCAAACTGTTCCTTCAAGAGAAGGGAGGGACACAGGGCTTTGGCCCATACAGCTGTCATAAAACATCCAGAAATTTTAGCACTAGTCAAATAACTGGAAAAGGCAAGACAGACTCACATCACCCTTGTTTCCAGCCCAGCACATCAAGGTCATAAGATATTTATCAAAAGCTCCTTGTTAGTTGCATGATAAGAAGGTGACCAGGGCAATTGCCTCCAATCTGCAAATGCTGGGAGAAACACAAATTCTAAAACAAGGTTCTAGCCAAAGG